AATCCATTCATTCCTTAGATTTTTATAAATCTTCTTTTATTTCCAAGATTGGCCTGCTTAGATACTTGTAATTTAGAGTAAGTAAGAGTTCTTTTTATGAACTTTTCCAAGGACATAGTGTATTTGCAAATGCCTAAGAGGAAAACAATGACTGTTTATAAATGACAAAACTTAAAATGACATGGTGATAGATTTGATTATAGTGCAATTGATAAGGAACTTTGCTGCTTTGTAAGTTATATCATTCCAAGATAACAATTTCTAGGTAAATAGTAATTACTATGAACTGACATAAAAGAACAATACAAAGCCCATATTTTTTGATATAACCCAAAATCTCAATATATAAAGACCAAACTGTATGTGAGGTTTTAAAATGTGGTACATGACTTATCGGAGGTGTGCCCTGAGCATTGGAAACAATTCATAAATTTCCAATGTATGGGTTACAAACACTTGGAGTATCATTGCTTAATATCTCCACAGGGAAACATCACTCTCGGGTTGTCTAGTGTCACTGACAGGACACCTGCAACCCCTGAGTGCTTCCTGTTTATACTTGATTCTGAATCTTTGCAAGTTCCTCCCTGGGGCAGACTGCGATTTCTAGAACATCTATTTTAACAAAAATATATGTATACAGATAGAATATAATTATTATTATTTTATTTGGAAAAGCTTCCCATGTAATTTTGAGCATATTAAATAGGCACAATTAGTTCAAAAACTTCTCCTTTCTAAGGAGAGAGAACAAATCCTTGAGGTATTCCAGGAGTCCCTTGTAATAATTCAGTCATTTCTCAGTTAAAAAGTCTCTTAAAATTTGAACTTTGGGAAGGTTGTCAAAAGTAATTAACTAAAATATTATAACATAATCTCATGGCAAAACAACCTTTTTTAATGGTAATACCTCCAAAAACATTAACCAAATTAAAACCAGTTTTAATATCAAATAATTTGTCCAACCACAGGATCCTGCCTAATTTATATCAGTATTTAATTTCTTTAGGCCAATAATATGCTACACCCTAGTTACCCCATCCAGGGGCAGGAAATACACCATATGTACGCCTCCAGCAAAGCTCAAGGCATTTATCAAGAGCTCCAAATCCACTTTACAGCCTCTTTGTAATAAAAACCCCAAAGCAGATCAACTCAAGATTTGTCCAGCAATTAATGTTTCAGTGTTTCATGTTATTTCAAGATGAGTTGGGTGGGTGGCCGACACAGTTTTCATGAGAGCCCCTGACTCATGCATGTGTCGGACTCCTTGGTCCGTGTTTCATATTCCATGTTATTTCAAAATACCTACATATTCAATAACTTTTACCAGCATTTACGGATTTAGGAAAGCACAGCTGAAACAAATAAAATTGATTTACTCAGACATAGCTAATGTTTTTTCCCTTTTTGATAAGATTTACCTTCCAAATATCTGTATTTTAAAAGATGGCCTAGACCAGATTTTTTTTTAAAAGACCAGGTATTTGTACTTCAAAAATGTAGAAAAAGAACAGCATGCTTCTTCTAGAAGGACAATTACCTATACATTTTTAAAGGTGACTAGAGAAGGTTTTGAAAAGGTAAAAAAAGCATTTGGTGGACTTTGATGTACTGGAGTCAAACCCCTGGCCCTGTAAACATTTCATTTGTAAAACCAAGACAGTTATTTTTAATACCTGAGCAGCTGGGGTGTGACCGAAATGTTTATAAAGGGCTAACAAATCCATTCACCCATTTTTGAAATATTATTTCCATCTGGGTACATTTTTCCAGGTTACACACAGCAAATAGCTTAGGGTCCTGTCTGAGAGCCACAGTCTTAGATATATGGAACCTCTGTCTATTTCCCTTAAGAATAGCAAAAGAGGTCCAGCTGTAAGATAGTATTAAAATGAATGGTGTTGTTGACTGTTCAGATCTCTCCAATGTCCACTTTATATTGGGACTAGGAGATGTTGCACTTGGCAAGTATGCATCCCAAAAGGGGGATTTCAAGGCACGGTGGACAGGTTTTTCATCTACAGAGAGACTGATATATAACATGCTGAGAGAGGCATCGCTGTACATCTCTGGGATGTTTTGGGCCATTCTGAGTAGAGTCTGTATCCTGTTAAGCTGTCCCTGCAGCTTTGACGGAAGTTAACAATGAAAAGATGGTTAGGAAACGTTTAGTCAGTCTCAAGATTAGTTTCCTCTTGGGAGGTTCTTTTAAAATCGTTATCTTCCTGTTTGGTCCAGTATCTGGTTTATTTAATTCTAAATGCATTTCACTCTTCTGGAAAAAGATATCTGGGCATCATCGGTTTCAAGAAAGTCTCATACTGTTAGCTCAGAGTCGCCCAAGAAACCAGACGGACGCAGGGAGATAAGGTCTGCAGGGTTTATTAGCGGGGGGAATAAGAGGGAAAGTGGAGCCAACCGAGGGAGGTTGGGACTTGCTTGGTTGTTCTTAAATTAGACTTTTTAAACGCAAAAACCTGCATTTAGGGTATTAGAGTCTGATTGGCTAGAGCTGGTTGCTGGGTCAAAGCTGCATCCTATAACCCCAGACCCTAATCTTCCTGGACAGGGTCTGCAGGCAGCTTCCTGCGGTGCCATTTTCTCGCCTGGTAATTTTCCTTCTTCCTTGGCCTGCCTAGATCTAACACATACTACCAGGTGAATCAGAGCAGATTTCACTGGTAAAAATATATTTTGCTCCATAACATTTCCTAGTTGGAAGGAAATATGCTCTAATTTTAAAACAGACATTGGATAATTATGTCTACCATTTGTAGAGAAGCTTACTCTGAGGGATGGTGACAGTTGCTGGAGGAAAAAGAGGGATCGAGTAAAGTAAAAGAGATAAAGAATTACAAATTGGTAGTCACAAAATAGTCACAAGGATATAAACCTCAGCATAAGGGACACACTCAATAATATATAACCATGTAAGGTGCTAGGTGGTTACTTAAAATATTGAAGGGATTGGTTGATAAAGTACATGACTGTCCAACCACTCTATGGTATACCTGACATTAGTATAAAATATTATAATTTAGAAAAGAAACAGATAAAGTATGTATATAGGAACCTTACTACTTTCCCTGTCCGTGATAATTTCAACCTCTCCCAAACCATCAGCAAGGAGAAAAGGGAACACTCTAGAGCAACATCATCCATGCCTGCCTTCTCATTCCAAATCCCAGTTCGACCTTCTCCAGTTCCTCCTGGGTGACCTGACTTTTTGCAACAGAAACAGACTTCTCCACAAAAGCTTCCCAGCAATCTCAGTTTAGTAATTCTGTCGAATTAGACATTAAGCTCAACAAACTTGAAAGTTGAACCAGACACCGAGCTTGCTTCATCATGAAGCCACAGCAGCTCATTAAGCCTGATTTACTTGGAAACTGTAGCATTTACAGGATTATTCACGCACTCCAGAAAGCTATCCAGTCCTTACTCTTAGGATTTAACCCTCCAGGTGGGCAGGAAGCATTTCTCTTGGGCTCAACCCAAGCCAAGAACTAGGACCACCAGAAAAGGAGGAGCAGGAAAAAACCCTCCTCTGAGTACATGTGGAGCAGAAACCAGATGAGGCAGCACAACACGGGAGGTTCCCACAGCAGAAGCCAAAATAGCAATACAAAGGGGCACAGCCCAGCTTCTCCAACCATGGAAAAGGAGCAGACCAAATAGCACTAATCCCCAGCAGGTCCAGGAAGGGCCTAACCCTGGCCTGGCAAGAATGAGGAAGTGGGTGAAAGCCGGAATCATGGCTTCAACAACTTGCCATTCTACTCAGAAAAACATATCTTGGAGGCAGCCACTGCCAGAGCCAGGCCTGAAAAGTGGTCTTCCCAGTTTTCTATTCTAGTGCTAATTGACATGTGGTCCTTCTGGGGGTTTCTAATTTGCAATCAAGATAAGCTTCCCATTCAGTTTAATTTAGAACCCGATTTTCTAATTTTTCATGCCAAAATTATTTCAGGCATTAAAAGAGATACATTTTAGCCATGTTAAATTGGTCACTTCTGGTTAAATCTTCCCATGTTTGTTAAGTGCCAGTAAGGATATGGCCCTGTGTATGCATCTCAAAACTCCCAGGAGTCTCTGCCCCCCATTCCCCCTCCACAAAGATTCCTAGTCGTCTAAGACTGTCTGAGACCAGCCAGAGGGAGAAAGCGTCTCTCATCCTCAGAGCTAAAGGAATTTAGACTTTTATTTTTCTAGCGAAAGATTTTGTTAAAAGACCCCCAGTTAGCAACTTCAACTAAAAGCCAAAGTTAAAAGTCAGCCATCCATTTTTCTCCCCCTGTCGTGTCTTAACTTGGCTTCTTAAACCTTGACCTCTAGCTTTACCTCAAGGATTTAAAACAAAACAAACAAAAAATACCACGTCAAAGAAATTCAGCCTCTAATAACAGTATGTAAGGTGACCTTTAGTGAGTTCCTTTTTGGAATCCTGCCATTCTACTTGACACAGGCCAAGTCACTGCAAGTTAACCAGTAACAAAAAATCACTAAGGATTCTGACTCCAGTGTATTTGTACAGGAAGAAGATAGTTAACACATTCCAGATAAGCGTGGATGCATTTTGTGTTTCAGTGAGAATACAGTCAAATTGGATTTGAAACAATACTTTTTGTCTCCTGTAGCATTCCGAGTTTCCGGGAATCTGAAATAGTGTCTCTAAACAAAGCGATCAGTTCCAGGCAACACTCCCCAGGTATTTGCATACAGGGCGGTGAAACTAAAGTTAACATTCCCCAGCGCCACGCCAGATGTAACAACGCCTTTGTATAAACCTTAAGGTCACTGATAGACAGCTAACGCTTCCTACGCAGCTTAAAAAAACAAAAGCAAGGCGCAGAGGGCGATAGGCACAGAGATAGCGAGTTTCAACCAATGAAAAAGTTCAAAAGGGAAGTGCGCTGCGCGCCACGTGTCACGTCAGCCACGTGTTAGGGCAGAACTTCCGGCTTCCTCTGGAGGACACTTTGACCTTTCCCATCTTTTTCCGGTCAGAGCTTCGCCAGCGTTGTATCCGGTCGGGAGCGGCGGAACTGGAGTGGTCCTTGCTGGGCAGAGGTGGGTCTGAGGCTCCCCTTGTTCCTCGTGGCCAGGAACTGGTCTCAATATCTCGCAGGGCCCGTTTGTCCCACAGAACCGCAGGCGCAGCCGGCTCGGGCGCGGGTCTGAGAAGTGTGCGCGGTCCTCCCGCCCTCCCCGCTCAGCCCACAGAGCCCTGCAGCCCCGGTGCGGGGCACCCATCACGTCTTGCATCCATACCTAACTTAGGTTCCGAGATCGGGAGGCACTCGTAGGTGACACAGGGTATAACCGGGTGGGAGAGGCTGATGGTTGGAGGGGCTGCCGCGTAAAATGTGGAGGGGTGCTTGAACCAGGAGGAGTCTGGAAAATTGGGCCCTGTTTTGTGTCTAAAGGCTCCGGAGGAGCGTAGGCGAAGTTGTACGTGAGGAGTGCACGTGGTGGCCATGGAAGGTTGTGAGGAAAAGTATCTTGGCGCAGGCTGGTGTAGCTCAGTGGATTGAGCGGGGGACTGCGAACCAGAGGATCACCGTTCAATTCCCAGTTACGGCACATGCCTGGGTTGCAGGCCAGTTCCCAGCAGGGGACACACAAGAAGCAACCGTACATTGATATTTCTCTCCCTCTCTCCTTCCCTTCCCCTCTAAACATAAATAAATAAAATCTTTTTAAAAAAAGGTATCTTGATTGATTGGGTTGTAACATTTTCCAAACATTGCTCAGAGTGAAAGTGGAGAAGCTGGACAGTCACCACCAGGCCCAATAAGCAGAGAAAAAGATGGAGCTTTTTTTTTTTTAAGTCAGTTTGTGCTTTTATTGACTACTTGAGAGGGATGGAGCGGGAAGAGTGGGTGACCCCAATGCCAGGCCGACCATGCTTCACCGGCTTATAGGTGATGGAGAACTCGCCCAGGTAGTGGCCAATCATCTCCGGCTTGATTTCCACCTGGTTGAAGGTCTTCCCATTGTACACGCCCACCATGCTGCCCACCATCTCTGGCAGGATAATCACGTTCTGCAGGTGTGTCTTCACTTCCGGTGGCTCCCTCGTGGGCGGTGCTTGCTTCTTGGCTTTGCGCAGGCGCTGTAGCAGTGAGTGCGGCTTTCCCTGAAGGGCGCGGTTTGGCCGCTGCCTGGCACTGTAGAGCTGGATTAGTTGCTCACTAGGTGGGAGAAGGCAGGTGGCGTGGGTGGTCTATCTAAGCCTAGGACATGTCAAGCAGTTGATCAAGATCCACGCCACTGTAAGTGAATTTGCGGAAGGTCCACTGCTGCTTCTCCACTTTTACCATCTTGATGGCTCTTCAGAAAGTGAATCTTTATGTCCGCTTTTTTTCAGATGGCTGGCGATCTGAGAAGATTGTAGGTTGCACACCTTGAAAGATGGTCTTGCATTCCATTTCGAACCTACCCGTTTAATAAGGAAATGAAAAGGGTAGGTAAGGGCTTTGGAATTCAGGCACAAGATTAATAAAAGCTGCAGAATTATTTTTATCTGTTGAACAGTGAATCTTCATCTGCATCCTGTAGAGTGGTCTGGGTGACTCTGGCGTGGCTCAACGGATTGAGCATCGGCCAGCTATAACCAAACATGCCCTGGGTTTGACGCCTTTTTTTTTTTTTTTTTTTTTAGGTTTTATTTATTTATTTTTAGAGATAGGGGAAGGGAAGGAGAAAGAGAGGGAGAGAAACATCAGTTTGTGGTTGCCTCTCTTGTGCCCCTAAATGGGGGCACAGCCCGCAACTGAGGCATGTGTCCTGACTGGGAATCGAACCAGGGACCCTTTGGTTCAAAGGCCTACACTCAGTTCACTGAGCTATACCAGCTAGGGCTGAAGTAGTAGTAGCTTTTTACATGTGTTATTAGTAAGCTCATTAAGTATTACTTAAATTTAAAAATTTACAACTTTAAAATTTTCCCCATCAAGAGGAAGAAGCAGTTAGGGACAGGGAGGTGAATCCTATAAAGGATGGCTTTTCTCCCAGGGTCTACAGTGAGTACTGAGGCCCTGAGCTATAGTGCGGTCACCTTGAGAGCACCTGGCCCCCAGGGCTGGGCCAGAACACTTAGAATCCTGAGCTTGTGGGTTCTGGCAGTGGTGACCAGGCTCTCAACAGATCATTCTCTTTCCAGATTCTTGCAACTCAAGAATCACTTAGGGCCCTGGTTTGCAGGGCTTATTTCAGGGCCTCCCACTCTTACGATCTTTGAGATACAGGTGTCCATGGTCTGTGGTGCCACACTGTCAGCTTTTGGTACTAGGGACCCTCAACAGACACCAAGCCCAGGGTTCTAGGTCCAGGTTTACAGTTTCCTGTTTTAGGCAGCTGGTGGAATGCGATGTGAGAAGTCCTCCCAGGCATAGGTACCATTATGTGCAAAGGCTTGGAGGTAATGATGTGTTGATTCAGAAACCTGCAGGTATCCTTTCTTACGTGCCAGGAACCAGTGGGACAGGAGTCAGGTCTAGAGTAGCTTGGTTTCAAGTTGGATGGCGGTCTGCAGGGTGTGGTAGAAAGACCAGAGAGAAGGCTGGTTATATAATTTGGGTGAGTATGAAGGACCAGGAAAGTGGCCTTTGAGGTGGGTGAAACAGCTGGATTCTAGATGGGACTTTTATGTGTGGCTGCCAAGTTTTTCTAATCTTGAGGTTGAGAGAGAGTGAGGTAGGAGTCAGGAATGACTTGATGGTTTGGTGTTAGTAACTTCAGTATGGAAAGCATTATCAATTGAGATGGGGAAAAAACACAGTATAAAGAGAGATTTTCATTGGGGATATCAGGAATTTTATATTTGACCTGTTAATGGTATGAGATGTTACAGAGAGCATTTCATAGGTGTCTGGAACTCTGATGAGTTCAAGAGAACAACTTCTCCAAAAGGTGCTAGAGAGTCTATGGACCAGGGAGGAGCTGTATGTCACTGTGATATGGGGAATCCTGGTCAGAATCATACTGGTAGTAGTAGCCCAGGAAGACAGGGCAGGGCTGAGGACTGGATTTCCTGCTGGGGAATCTAGTTGTGGGAAGTGGGTGTCACAACAGAGGATACGGAGAGAAGTGGTTGTGTAGCAGGATGAGCAGAGAGTATGACTCAACAAGTGGCCAAGGTCTTCAAGACATCAGTGGATCTGAGATGGATTATAAACATCAGAGTAATTCACACAAGGGAAGACTGGTACTGTGCATATTCTTTGCTCTGAAGACTCCCCAGGACTTAGCTGTGACCTAGGGTGTCCCAGTCAGGCCAACAGATGAAGTGTAGGGGCATAGTGTTCATCTGTGAGACTCATGGGGCATGGGGTAGAGGGCACCTGGGGCTGGCCCTAGAGTGAGAGTGAGGTGAAGAGAGGAAGGCTGAGACTGCTGGCAGGTTATCAGGTGTCGTACCCGTGGAGGAAGACTATATATATTTCACATCTGATGTGGTTCTTGGTAGGTGAAGTTGAAGCAAGGAACCCTCAGGGAGGGAGGTCTTCACAGCAGGAATCGAGGGAGCTAGCCGCTGTCGGTGGGGACCATCAGAGTCTGGGTAGTACTTGATCCTGTTTGAATTTACTGTGGATTATCTGGATTACATATACTGAGAAATGAGTAGAGAGGCTAAGGCAGTAACTGTGGTAGGGACAGGAGGAGGCTGGGACTGTGTGTACTGTGAAAGAGAGGTGTGGTAGGAAGACTGAGGTGTACGTGGAGGGGGCAGTGTGAATTGATGGCCCCAGGGCACTAGCCTTGACTTAGAGTAAATGGAGGCTGAGCTCATGTCTGGTGGATTCTCAAAGACTGATACGGGTAATTCCATGGGAAGTGCATGAAAGAGTGTGATACCTTAGCTAGCAGTATGGGTATCTACATGCCCAGTCCAGAGACTAGATTCCATTTGTCTGCCCACCTGCCTACTGTTGTTGAGGGCTGGTACAGTGATCAATAGGACCTTTTATTTATTTCTTTTAAAATTTTTTTAAAAGATTTTATTATTTTTAGAGAGAAGGGAAGGGAGGGAGAAAGAGAGGGAGAAACATCATAGTGTGGTTGCCTCTCACATGGCCCTCACTGGGGACCTGCCTGCAACCCAGGCATGTGCCCTTCGGTTCACAGCCCACACTCAGTCCACTGAGCTACACCAGCCAGGGCTCAATAGGATCTTGATCAGATAGCAGACGTCAGTGCCACCCAGGTTTGAAAACCTCCATTAGCATGGGGAAGGGAGACAGGTAAGCAGTAGATAGATTATGAAGTTGGTGAAATGAGAATCCTGGTAGAGGTGATCAGGGAACAGTCCTTGTCCTGGCAGGGCCGTGCTTCCTTTCAAGTAACTCTGAAAAGATAGCTGCATGAGGGAAGTGGAATTCCAAAAATTACGTACAGGACAGAGGTTAGTTTAAAGTAATGGAATGAGGACCCTGGGATGGGGCACATAGGTTGAAGGGGATGCCCTGTTTTTTGTGTGTCTTGGAGGGACATTCTGGGAGACCACAGCAGTATTACCCGACAAGACCCATTTCAAATTACTCACATGATCTCTATGTCCAACTTCTCTCCCTAAACTAAGTTTGTGCCTCTAAGTCTGTACTGACAAGAGGCAGTATGGCCTACATGTTAAGTTCAGAGCCTAAGGTATTGTCCATGTGCCCATCAGCATATTTTTGTGGGCAGGAACAGTATCGATGGGAATATAAGGAGACTGATTTTAATAGTACCAAGGCTTTGTATCTGCTCTGATGTGGGGAGTCAAAGTATCAGATGGATGTGGAGGGTTGAGGGGTAGGGCAAACTTGGAATCCTAGGAGAGGAGCTGATCATAGTATGCACTGTCCCCATTCTGACAGGATATGAACTTTGCAGACCTGGCCATTGCCTTCTCCCAGGAGGAGTGGGGACTCCTTGATGAGGCTCAGAGACTTCTGTACTGGAATGTGATGCTAGAAGTCTTTGCCCTTGTAGCATCTGTGGGTAAGACCTTCAAACCTCTCCTCTTGTCTCGAAGTGATGTCCTGCCTTCTCTATTTTCTCCAGAAGTGGCTCTATCTTTCCCACAGCCATACCATGTGCTCTGCTGATGTCCTCTGTGTTGTGGTGGCTGCGAGTTCTGATCTGTGTGGAGTGCCCTGACCCATAAACCCCTTGAGCACATCTAACACATGTTGCCTCAAAAAGTGCAGAGAAGTGTTTGGGTGTCTGGAGTCTTGCAAACAGCTTAATAGATCCCACCTTACTTGGATTGTTCCTTGCTTGGGTCACTGTGTCCGCATCCATAACCTCCAGTTCTGCCCTTTTTTCTCTACTTAACATTTTTTTTGTGATTCTCTGTACCAGTTGATGCTCATTACTTACATTAACCTGGGCTGTTCTTGTGAGACCCTCCTTGAAGGTTTTGTTGTTGCTTTTTTTGTAACATTGCCTTCCCTCAATACTACTTTATGCCGAGTTGCTCTGGGTCAGTGGTTGCTGAGTACCTCTGCTGTCTTTAATCGATACTGGAATCATTGAGATTCTTTTTTTTTTCTTTTTAAACTATTTATTTTTAGAGAGAGGGGAAGGGAGAGAGAAAGAGAGGGAAAGAAACATTGATGTATGGTTGCCTATCGTGTGCCCCTCACAGGGACCTGGCCTGCAACTAAGGCATGTGTCCTGACTGGGGATTGAACCAGCAACCCTTTGGTTCATAGGCTGGTACTCAATCCACTGAACCACAGCAGCCAGGGCTTGAGATTCTGAATAGTAGTACAATAAAGGGGGAAGGGAGAATTCGCGCTCTGTCACAGGGTGGACTTGACAGGATTGTCTCGGAGGCCTGACCCTTGTGGTGAGAACTGAGGTACGTCGTTACTTACAGGCTGTATTCAGATTATATCGAGAACCTGACCTGTGTCCATTATTGTTTTTCTGCAAGTGGCCGCTATCCACACCTCATTTCTGCTTTTTCTTACCCATACTTAACACTTCGCTGACTTGTTTCATCTGTGACTTCATGGCTCCTCACTGTGTACCCATATGTGTACTCTGTGCATTGCATGTTCCTCTTCATGGCTCCCTCTGCAGTATTCTGCAACAATGACATACACATGGGTTATGAGACATGCATAAATTCTTACGAAGTCTTCAAACACCATCTATTCATTTATTGAATTTTACACAGAAAAGGATATACCCAAGCTCCTGGGCAGCTTGCCTGTGTTACCAGTTAGCAGAAAATGAATTTGACATGTTGTTTATTATCCATGTGGTGCTTGCCATCACTGTGTCTTTTTTTTTTCCCCCTGAGGTTTTTTTTTGTGTGTGTGATTCTCAGAGGCCCAGTACTGCAAAGCAGCATTTTATTCCATATACCCTTAGGTCTCTCCCTTTTAGACAGTGTCATGAAGCCATCATATTAATGTATAACACACTTTTATGTTGAGACTTGCCCCTCCCATCAAAGTCAGCATGCATTTCTTTCAGCATTTCTCTGCTTTCAGGTTGTTGGCATAAAAAGGAAGATGAGGAGGCCCCTTGTGAGCAGAGTATATATGTAGAAGAAGAGTCACAGGCTGGGGTTTCTAAGACATCTCCAGCAACTCAGAAAGCCCTTCCTTGTCAGCAGTGTGTCTCAGTCTTGAAAGCCATATTGAACCTGACCGAGTTCCAGGCAGCATACCTTGGGCAGAAAGCATTCTTCAGTGATGCCTGTCTGAGAGGCTTCAGTTTCAGTGCAAACCTTCACCATCAACAGAGGCCTTCCAGTAGAGAGAAGCCTTGGAAAGGATATATGGACAGGGCCTCCTTTGTGACCAGGTATAGCTCTTACGTATCAAGTGCACCTTTCATCAATAGGGAGGTTACAGAGGAATTTCCAGCCATCTCAGACTTTCTCCTGCACCAGGCCACTCCTAGCAGTCAGGAACAATGCAGTGGGCTGTCCTTACCTGGTGAATGTGAAGAAACTTCTGGCCACACCAAGGAATTTGTTCAACAACAGAGTGTCTACTCTGGAAAAGAGCTTTACGAGGGTACCAAATGTGGAAAGGCTTCCACACAAATTTTTAACCTCATTCCACATAGGAGAGTTCACACCGGAGAAAAGTTGCTTGTTTGTGGTGATTGTGGGAAGTCCTTCAGGCATAGATCTAACCTTTGTCAACATCGAAAAATTCACAGTGAGGAAAAGCAGCATGAGTGCACTGTCTGTGGGAAACATTTTCACTACAAATTTACCCTTGTTGATCATCAGAGAATTCACACTGGTGAAAAGCCTTATGAGTGTAATGAATGTGGGAAATTTTTCAGAAAAAAGGATAAACTCATCGATCACCTCAAATGTCACACTGGTGAAAGGCCTTTTGAGTGTTGTGAATGTGGGAAATCTTTTCGTCGTAAGCATCACCTCCAGAGACATGGAAGACTTCACACCAGAGAAATGCCTCATGAGTATAGTGAGTTCAGGAAATCTCTTAATCGTCAGAGGCGTTCTGTTAAACGTCGTCAAGTTCATTCTCTAGAAAAATCATATGAGTGTGGTGAATGTGGGAAATGTTTTCGTCGCAAATACCAATTTATTACGCATAAGACAATTCACACTGGAGAAAAGCCCTTTGAGTGTACTGATTGTGGGAAGTTCTTCAGGCTAACCTCTCTCCTCCTCCAACACCAGAGAATTCACACTGGAGAAAAGCCCTTTGAATGCAGTATGTGTGGGAAGGCCTTCAAACAAAAATCAGCCCTCATTCAACACCAGAGAATTCACACTGGAGAAAAGCCCTTTGAGTGCAGTGAGTGTGGCAAGTCCTTCAATCAGAAATCTGCCCTCATTCAACACCAGAGAATTCACACTGGAGAAAAGCCTTTTGAGTGTAATGATTGTGGGAAATCTTTCAGACAAAGCAGTAAGCTTATTGATCACCTCAGAGGTCACACTGGGGAAAGGCCTTATGAGTGTAGGGAATGTGGAAAGTGTTTTAGACAGAGCTCTACTCTTTCCCAACACCAGAAAGTTCATAGTAGATTAAATCCAAACAAGTGAAGCAAATGTGGGAATAAATTTAGACGAATCCTTCTTTTTTTTTTTCCATTTTAGGAGTAATAGGAGAAAGAACAGGTCTTTACACTGTGGACCTTCGGCTTGTTACAGATTCCAAGTTTTCTCCTAGTTTTTATAAAAATAAAACTTAACCCCCCCCCAAATCAGAAGGCCTGAGCTGTTTTTTTTTACAATGTATTTGCTTATCAAATCATAATGTATATTATAAATATTATACAGGTTTGTCAATTATGCCTTAATAAAGATGCAAAAAGATTGAAATTATACCCTCACAAAGCCATAATATGAGAGAATGTTGAGAAATAAATCTTTGGGAGAAAAAAGATTCACACAAAAGTAAACAATGTACTTAATTTACTTTGCCTTGGAGATAAAGCACTTTCTATTTCGAGAAGCAAATGACGGGTACACTGGCTCGCAGTGCCTGCAGCATCATGGATGAGACGAGACAAATTCACACGGACTACCGAGTCCTGTGGGGGAAAAGGGATGGCGCGGCTACTCCCTCAAGGGGGAGAGCCCCAGAGTGGCCTGGCAATTCTCTCAAGGGTAGAGCCTGCTGACCCTTTCCTAGACAGGCTTTTGTTGGGGGTTTTGCACAGGAGTTCAGGTACAACTTAACTAATCGTCGTCAGGCAGTAAACAGTATACAAAGAACCATTAGGGCCGCTTCTAAGTCAGGGTCTATCAGCTAAAAGGCTATAGAACTTTGGGAAAACAAACGCATTTTCTGCCTGGGCCTTTATCATTTAACTAAAAGCAATCTTGGCAAAGCAGGCTTCATAGGATTATTAGGAAATATATGCCAGATCACCTCGGATCCCGTTCCAGCTGACAAAGGGCTGCACCACTTTCCCCATCACAGGTTTTCAGGCTTAAGTAGATTAGAGCCAGGAAGCCTTCCCCCAGAGTATGTGGGGACTGGACTATGTCAGAATAGCTGGGGAGCAAGGGTCCATCACTCCCTTTTTATTGCAGCCTCCTGAGTGATCATGTCTGCCTTAGGTTGCCCCCCTCTGAGGGGTCGTACCCGTGATAGACTATCCAACTCTGCATCGGGGGCTGGGATGTAAGTAGAAGCATCATTTGCTACCAGAGTCGAACTTTATCTCCTTGTGGCTTGAATTCTGGAGGTTGCTCACTCATCCTTATCTATGGGGGCGTTTATAGCTCCCGAAACCAGACAGAGCAGTTCCCAACAAGCAAAGCTTAGTTGGGAGTCGCGGAATAATCGTAAGTGCCTTACCAGAGGTCACATATTGATGCCAGGGGCTGTATATTTGACCACGTTAATATTTGTTTCCTGCTCTGATAACTAATTCTTTTTTTTAATTTCATTTTGAAGGATAGCCATTTATTTTTTTCACATTACTTTTTGGAACCAAAATGTTGCATTAACAAGGTGGTGGTGGGGGGTTGAGTATAGTAACTGTGTACCTTGTAGTATTTTCCCATGCTTGCAAATAATACAGTCTGGTATGGGAAGTGGAAATATCAGACCTGTGGAACTTCCAGTCAGTATGTCAATAGAGATAGCTGATTTGTCCCTGTGAGTGAGTGGACTACATGGCCATAAGGGCTAATGACAATGTACATTTTGCCAAGGGAGCTCAAGGCTTTCTGAACTTCCTGCTGGCTGCTGTAGCACCTTGGATTGAGCACTGGCCTGCAAACCAAAAGGTCACCAATTTGACTCCCTCTGATGCAAGCCTGGATTGTCACCCTGGTCACCAGTTGAGGGCATGTGAAAGGAAACCAATCTATTTCCCTCCTCTCTAAAAATTGTTTTTTTAAAAATGTCATTTTTTTTCATCTACATAAGATTGGGTGATAGTGTGTATTTTTAGTCAGAGGTAAAACCTTATAAATTTATACCCTATAATTTGGGTGACATTGAAATCATTCTGGGTTGGAAATAAAATCACTTTTTTAGCTTTCCCTGGTGGAGCTCATTTTATTGGGTGTCCTGCAAAGCCAAAATCTACCAATTGGATACCTACCCAGGGGATATGACTGGGCTGCGGATTCTATCCCAGTTCAGGGCCAGTATTAAAGGCAACTCATCAATGTTTCTCCCTTCCCCTCTGTAAAAGTAAACTAAATCATTTAAAAATAAATTGCCCTGCCTGGTGTGGCTTAGTGGGTTGAGTGCTGCCCTGCGAACCAGAGGGTTGCCAGTTGGATTCCCAACCAGGGCACATGCCTGGGTTGTGGGCCAGGTCTACAGTGGGTGGGTAAGAGGCAACCACATGTTGATGTTTCTATCTCTTTCTTCCTCCCTTCCCCCTCTCGATTAAAAAAAAACCCACCAAACTCTAAAATTTAATGATTTACACAGTGAGAAACTCCCCAATGTCAAAAGGTTGTAGACTTGTCCTGGCTGGTGTGGCTGAGTGGATTGAACACCAGCCTGCTTGTATTGAGTGCAGGCCTATGAACTAAAGGGTCACCAGTTTGATTCCCAACCAGGGCACATGCCTGGGTTGTGGGTCGGGTCCCTAGTTGGCATGTGAGAGTCAACTAATGTTTCTCTGCCTCTTTCTCCCTTCTCTCTCTGAAAGTAAATAAAATCTTAAAGCAAAAAAAAAAAAAAAAGACATTCAGCTAAAGATTTCCTGTGTTCACAAAACACTTGAAGCCTTTAACCAGGGAATTATGATAAAGGTCTAAATGACAATGAAATAAAAGTTTTCCCACACTGATATCTCCAGAAGGCTCATATAAAGGGAAAAGGATGGGAAAAGAATTTCCCACACTGCCTATACTTCTAAGGCCTTTAGCTACAGTGAAATCTCTTAATACAATGGAGCTTAGTGTTGTAAAAAACACTTCTCATATTGCATGTATGTATAAAATCTATCACCTGTGACCTCAGAGAAGATAAAAAAAAGGTCTAGAAATAAAACATTTCCCTAATTCTTTGGTAAGAACTGAGTGACTGTGAATATTATGACAACAGGTCATGGCTACTGATAAAATATCCCCCATACTTACGGCATTCAGAAAGCACTGCTGTAGTGTAAACTCATGATAACAGAAGTTACTGATGTAAAGAAACCACTTCCCATGTTCACTGCATACATAAGGACATTTCTCAGTAAGAAAGCTATGATAGTGCAAGTGACTGATACAGATAAAGGCTTTCCCACATTCACTGTACTCAAAAAGCTTTTATCCAGTGCGAACAACTGGATGACAAAAGGCGGAGCTACTCATGAAAGTATTTGCACACTAAGTGTACTCATTAGGTTATTTTCCGTGTGAACTCTGATGACAACAAAGGGTAAAGCTCCTGGTAAAAGGCACCTCACAATTCTTATACTCAAAAGGCCTTTTTCCAGTGTGATTTGGTCCCAGGTCACTGGGTATGAGAGGCAACCTATCCCTCTTTCTTCCTCTTTTCCCCTCTCTCTAAATAAATGAAAAAATTTTTTAAATCCCCTTTTCAGCAACTAAAGGCTAGAGCTTTTCAGCAAAGAAATGTTTTAAGTCAGCCTGAAACTATTCAAATCCCAAGGAGGATAAAAACTGGATAAATTTAATACGAGTATTTAAAGGCTCTGGATAGATGGTCACTTTTTACTCAATGTTCCATGGAGGTGATTGGGAGGCCCTGCCATGTAGTAACTTTCTGTCAGGTGGGGTGGTTATAGCTTTGGGAAGAGGCAGGTAGGAACCCTTGCAACATGCCCATTCCGATTAGGAGCCTTAGGTATAACTATCCCAACTTTCTCCTCGGGTGGTCCCTCTTCAAATGCACTGCTGCCCATTACCAATCCCCGCTTCCAGAAATATCAGAATTCTGAAGAACAGCCAATTTCTAGGCACTTGAGTTGTTTATATCCTCCAACAGCTTTAGAGGGATTTCTGCTCATTATTGCAAAGTGGACATGGGTTTGCATTGAAGGGGGAATTTCTAGTGACTCCCAATGAGGGTGTGGATCCAGGCATCGTTCAAAGCCCACAGTCTAGTAAGTATCTCAGGAAGTGTGGACCTCTTCTAGCAAAATTGCATGAAAAAAAATTCTCATAGGTAGCTAACATTAAGGAGCTCTCCAGAGGACTATCTCATTTAACACCGGTGAAATTACTGAGCAGAGGCATTGTTTGTTATGTCCACTGAAGGGAGGTAAATGTAGATCACAGGGAGTGCCCAGCTGGCAAGTGTGTGAGCTGGGAAAATTTAGCTGACAAGTTCTGGGTCAGCTCAACTTGTTCCTCTGCATCCTCTTTCTGAGGGAAACCAGATTCCAGCCATACCCCCAGATTTTTTTCCTGTGAGGTGGGACTACCTCATAACAATGCTGTAATGCCACCAGAAGCCCAAGGGCCCCTCCCCCACACATGCTGTACCTTCTCTGCAAACTCCTCTCTTCCTGCCCTCATGGATGGCAGCACCATTGCCCTGGAATTCGACAGGGTCATCACTGTCACCCCAAACACATCACCCGTCCTCACCATTACATAGAGTAATTTGTGTTTAAACCCTGTTAGTCTTCCTGCTAATATTACTAAAAGGTTCTCCCTACCATCAGTCCCTCAGTACTGAGTGCCACCCAGAAATCACTGTTTCTTGTTGCACACTGGGAGAGAGGCTGAAGGTCTAAGGAAGCTCAAGTTCTTCCCACCAGTTTAACAGATGATCTTACCCCTGACCATTCTCCCCACCCTTCTTTGAGACCATCTTATAAATGAAGTTGAAATACCGTGACAGCATACACATTCACAGCATAGAGAAATGGCATCCAAAGAATAAATGGGTCAAGAATTAGCTGTGCCTTTTCAGGCATTGTTGGATGTTTAAGTAATCCACTTATGCAGCCAAGAGCAATCAGGAAGGCATGCTCTTCTATAGAATATCATCCATCTCCCTGTTTTCTACATCAATTATCTTGATTATACCCTTAGGGTTTTATTTTAATTTTTTAAAAAATATTTATTTATTTTTAAAGAGGAAAAGAAGAAGGAAAAGACCAAGAGAAACATCAATGTGTAGTTGCTTCTTGAGTGCCATACTGGGGACCTGGCCCTCAATACAGGCATGTGCCCTGACTGGGAATTGAACCAGCAGCCCTTTGGTTTGCAGACTTGTACTCAATCCATTGAGCCACACCAAGCAGGACTATCTTTGGGGTTTTAATTTACAGAGGTGATTAGTGACATGGAGTGTTTAATGTGTCTGTAAGAATTTGTCATTACTTACTGTTCCCAAGAGCAGAGATACATTGTACCACACTTGGATACATTGCAAAGCAGCAGTGCTGGTCAGAGGCAGAAAGGAGAACATGAGCAGAAGTGTTACTTGTGGCTTTCAAGGTATAGCATGGTACCTTACACCATATAGGATTATTGACTTTGAATTCTGGCAGGCTTCAGGAATAGGGGTGGTCACTACCATTCTAGTACCTAGGCCTGGGTTGTTTTAGGGGAAATACTGGTTTATTGTGCTGACAGTCAGATAAAGGAAGTGTATGGGTTATGGCTGTGGATTGGTTGGCTTGCACATGAAAGAAAGACAGGTTATTGGACAGGTTGTATATTTAGAATTAGGTAGCTCTGGGTGGGGCAGTCCCTTCCAGATCTGTAGGTGTCCAAGATGTCAACATTATCAAATACAGAAGACTTTAAAATGTCATTAATACACATATAGATGTGCTTCTCACACATGATAAATTCAGCCAATACTTCTATTACTAATTTTTCCTTTTTTTAAATATATATAAAGCTTCACAAATTTGTGTGTCATTGTCATGCAGGGGTCATTTGATTCTTCTGTGTGTCATTTTGGTTTTAGTGTATGTGCTGCAGGAAGGAGCCCTGTCTTCCTAAGCCTTTCAGTTCTGTCTTGTATGTCATACCAGACTGATTCTGGCATCTCAGCCTCATTAACCAAAAGACCACCATTGAATCCACAGTCAAGTGAAAAGGTAAGCTGTTAGAACAAACTCCTCCAGTCTCATAAGCTAACCTACTACTAAAGTGAATCTCTACTACTTCACTCTATCAGTGAATTTGGTCCATTCATCTGTTGTATTGGTATATTAATATATTTTGCTCTTCCTGGTCAAACAACCTTAGAACTCATACTCACAGTTGTTCCCTAGCTTTTTGATTAAAAAAAAATACTGGCAAAGTATCATAATTTTTCTGATGTGTCCATTATTTTTCTAGATCATGCTGAGAATTAGTACTAGTTATAGGTTGTAGTGGTGAATCTAGCAAATAATTAACTTTCCTTTACAGGTGGCTATCAGGTGATAGAGGAAGAGTACTTTCCCAGACACCTGCTGAGAGAGACTCAGTTATTTAAGAGTTCAGGATTGTCATTTTCTTCTACATCTAACCAAATGTCTTCATTTAATGATTTTTGAATCCCACTTTATGAACAAATGTCCTAAGATTCACAAGAAAAATTGTAACCCTGGCTGGTGTAGCTCAGTGGATTGAGCACTAGCCTGTGAACCAAAACATCGTGGTTCGATTCCCAGTCAGGGCACATGCCTGGGTTTCAGGTCAATTACCAGGAGGGGCCAGTTCCCAGCAGGGGATGCACCAGAAGCAACCATACATTGGTATTTCTCTCCTTCCCTTCCCTTCTAAAGATAAATAAATAAAATTAAAAAATATATAAAGATAAAAAAATTGTAATACTGTATTCAACTCACATTGTAATTTTCCAACATTAATCTTTTGATTTTCAGTAATATTTAAGATTTTATTTATCTTTAGAGGGGAAGGGAAGGAGAGAGGGAGAGAAACATCAATGTATGGTTGCCTTTCATGTGTCCCCTGCTGGGAATTGGCCTGCAGGGAACTGGCCTGCAACCCAGGCATGTGCCCTGACTGGAAATCGAACCTCGATTTTCTGGTTCGCAGGCCGGCACTCAATCCACTGACCTACACCAGCCAGGGCTGAATGTGAGAAATCTTTTCGTTGCAAATATTGCCTTGAAAGGCATAGTGGAGTTCACACTGGAGAAAAGCCATATAAGTGTAGTGTTTGTGGAAAATGCTTTAGCTGCAAATCTGTCCTTACTAAACACCAGAGAGGTCACACTGGAGAAAAGTTGCATGAGTGTGGTGAATGTGGGAAATCCTTTGGTCAACGGTGGTGCCTTACAGAGCATCGTTGAGTTCATTCTGGTGAAAAACCATATATGAGTGTGGCGAACGTGGGAAATGTTTTAACCAGAGCTCAAACTTGGTTAAACACCAGAAAGTTTCACAATGCTGATAGACCTTATGAATGTACTAAATGTGGGAAATATTTTAGCTGCAAATCTTCCCTTTTTAGACATGAGAGTATTCACAACGGTGAAAAGCTGTATGAATGTAGTGATTGTGGGAAGTCCTTCAGCCGAAGCTGTATCCTCCTGCAACACCAGAGAGTTCACACTGGAGAAAAGCCTTTAATACTGTAGTGATGTGGGAAGTCAGACAAAGAAGTAAGCTCGTTGATCACTGCAAATGTTATATGGGGGAATGACCTTATGAGTGTACAAATGAGGGAAGGCTAGACAAAGCTCTAACCTCTCCCCGACACATCATTCTTCATAGTAGAGCAAAGCCTTATGAGTGAAACAAATGTGGGAAAACCTGTGGACAAGTTTTTTTTTTTTAATTTCATTTTAGATAGAGGGAGAATAGAGAGAAGGGGAAGAAGGGGAAATTCTGATTTGATGTTCCATTAATTATGTATTCATTAGTTGGTTATTATGTGTGGCATGACCAAGGATCGATTCCTTAACCCTGGGGTATCATGACAATGCTTTAACCAAGGCAGCCAGGGTTATACAAATATTTCATTTCATCTGATATAAAGTTCACATTTAAGAAATGTCTTTATCAGCCCTGGCTGGTGTGGGTCAGTGGATTGAGTGCCAGCCTGTGAACTGAAAGGTTGCCCATTTTGATTCTTGGTACATGCTTGGGTTGCAGGCCAGGTCCCCAGTTGGGGGTATGCCAGATGCAACCAGTCAATATTTCGGTCTCATATTGGTGTTAGTCTCCCTTTCTTTCTCCCTCCCTTCCCGTCTCTAAAAATCAATAAGTAACTTTCTAAAAATTTAAAAACAATTCTAGTATATCTGCCACCAAACCAGCACTGTATCCCTAAGCCAGGTCTATCTTGTACATCATACCGTGTGGCATCTCAGCCTCATTAAACCAAAGGCTGCCATTGAATCCATAGTCAGATGCAAAGGTGGACTGTTAGAGCCACCTCCTCCAGCTTCATAAGCTAGCACTCTACTGGATTCTCTAGTACTTCATTGTGTCAGTGAATTTGGTCCATTCGTATATTTTATTGTTTTATTAATATATTTTACCCTTTCTGGTCAAATAGGTGAGGAACCCATACCCATAGTTGCTCTTTATTTTTGGAAAAAAAAATACTAGCAAAGTATCATAATTTTATGATGTGTCCATTATTTTTCTAGATCATGCCAAGAATTAGTATTAGTTATGGGTTGTTCTGGTAAATCTTATGAAGAATTGGCATTTCTTTACAGGTGGCTGCCCCAGGTGGTATTAGCGGAGGAAGGCTAGTCCCACCAGATACCTGGTAAGAGAGAGTCAGTCACTTAGGATTTCAAGATTGCCCTTTGTTTTTGCATCTGATTGTCCTAGTTCATGATTTTGAATCCTGTTTTCTTAATCAGTGCCCTATATTTACTCAGAAAAATTGTGATACCGTATTCAGATCTCATTCTAATTTTGCAAGACATTAATGTTTTGACTTTCAGCACTATGATCAATGTAGCCACAGGAATCAGAGCTCCAATTTAAGGCTGTCTCGCAAGATTCTGTTTTTCACACTGGGACTAAAAAATTTATTATTTTTTTGTTTGCAAGCAATAAGAGAAACTCAAAAGAATTCTTCCCTGACCACAGTCCCGGTAATCACACTCACTGCCTTAATACTGACTGCAGCATGACTTTGGTCTCAAGTAATGTGCTAGCTACACTTGTCATTTCCTCATAATCAGCTCCAGGTAACAGATTAATTATGATATCATCTGTGTCATGAGTTATTAGTACTCAAGTTTCCATTGGTTAGGTGTTCAGCTCTTTAGTCAAGCCTAAGAGCCTGACCAAACCAATCCCACCAAATTTTATCCTCATGTGTTTATCTATTAGAACTATGGCCAGAATCAATTCATTATCCATTAGGGTTCAATTAGGAAAAAGAAATTGTGTAGCAATTTGTATGGAAAAGGTTTATTAAAAATATAAACTAAAATATTTCAAAATTGGGAAATTGCTAATTTTAAGTAAAGACAGCCCCAAAACAATGGGATTGATATATATATGAACTTTAAAATGATATATTTTTAACAATTTTATTTATTTTGAGAGAAAGGGGAAGGAGGAAGAGAGGGAGAGAAATCAATGTGTGGTTGCCTCTCTCGCGCCCTCTACTGGGGACCAGGCCCACAACCCAGGCAGGTGCTCCAGCTGGGAATTGAACCATTGACCCCTTGGTTTGTAGGCTGGCATTCAATCTACTGAGCCATGCCAGCCAGGGCTTATTTTTTGTTTTATAAATGTCTTTATTTTATCTCTAATGAGTCATTTTTTAAAGAGAAACTTTAAAAAAATTGTTTGTGCTAGTAACAATTGTGCCCAACCGTAACATCTTTATTGGCCACAGACACTGAGTGGACGGCTAATTGCTGTAGCTAGGAAACTACATTACCCAGAGGCCACTGCGCTGAAGATGGGGCGTTAAGCCAATGAAAGCCGGGAAGCGGCGCATTTTCCTGCCCGAGCATCACTTTAGGTTGTAATTTCCCGGTTTTTTGTTTTTTTTTTTTCTTAGTGGCGGACATTTTTACTTCTCCGGTCTGTTAAACGAAAGACGCTTCACAGCTGGTGTTCCCCGGAGGCGTTGGCTTCCCAGCTCAGAGGCGCGTCCCTGTCTTGATGACCCGCAACTGGCCGGATCCAGGCCTCCGAGCCTCCCCTCCGCCCACAGAGTCCGCCGGCGGCGGGCTCGCTGAGCGCCCGGCTGAGGTGAACCGGCGTCTCTCCCACCCCGTCCTCCCCGTTCAGCACACGGAGCCCTGCAGCCCGGGTGCGGGGCTCCTGTCACGTCCTGCTGCCCAGGCCCCGACGTCTGGACAGAGAGGCGCTGGACGGTGGGTGACACGGTGTGACCGGGCGGGACAAGGTGACGGGCTGCGGGGCCGACTGCGGTTTTATTACTGAACCTCTAACAAACACCGGCGGATGCTCCTGCCCTCGGCATTCCTAAACTTTCCTATGTCAGACAACCTTCAGGTCCTTGACTGGCCCAGGAAAGGTTTGAAGGACAAGTCGGTGCGAGACTAAAGCAAGTTTTATTCAGGTAGAAAAAAAGAGGCCAGTGTGGACGCCACTGGGAAGAAAGCAAAACGTGTGCCTCCGAGTGGACGCGGGCCAAGTCGAGATAAGAGATCCAGTGCTCAGTTCTTGGGATTTTGTGCCTTTCCAAGGGTGGAGGCTTTTTCTCCAAGTTTTGTGGCGCCAATTTCTGATCTGCCTTCTGGTTGGGAGGGGGCCTTGTAGTTTTGATATCCGTGATTGCAGCAAGGGCTTCCTTCCTTTAGCTGTTTCCCTTTGTTCCCACCCACAAGCAGGGGTTCTGATGAGAAGATGTGGCCTCCTACATCCTATTGTAGGGATTTTTTCCACACTTCTTTCTGGCCTGCGTCGGTTGTACTAGATCATTATGAAATATCTGAGACACTCTGGAATCCATATGCTAAGTTCATGGGTGATTTCTGAGAGAAGCCTGTGGTGTGGAGCAGGAGGTGGCAGAGCTGAGGGAGTGAACCTGGGTGTGAAGCTGTGAATGAGGAAAAGATCACACAGAGTGTGCACAGCCAAAGGCAGTGTGAGCTGATGGTCCTGTGTACCAGGTGTGGGGACTTAAGGATGAAGTATAGCCCATGTTTGCCTGTGTCTTGGAGGCATGATCAGGGAGACTCAGTGGAATTGCTGGGCAGGACTGGATGAAGCCCTGTAGCCCTGGACCTGAGCATAGACGCCAGTTATCAGCCACACATCCTGTCTTTGGTATCGTTGCTGAGGATGATTAGAGTGATTGAGATTGTGATGAGATAGCAGGCAGCACTGGGGCCAAGGGCTGGTGTCTTCTCTGAACTTCTCTGGGTTCCTGGAGAGGGGTTTGTGCATGGGTAAGCTTTGTATAGTACAGGATTTGGGGGTCTCAAACAGACTTCTTGATTCATTTGTATTAATTCTGACAGGCTGTTGTGACCTTTGAGGATGCTGCTGTATCCAGGACGGAATGACACCTTGTTCAGGCTCAGAGATGCCTGTACCTCAATGTGATGCTGCAGAACTTTGATCTTACACATTCCCTGGGTAAGACACTCTCCTTTGGGCATGCCTGCACACCCTTCTTCAGACCTGTAGTTTGCTTCTTCTTCCCTAAGCTCTAAGGGTACTGACTAGACTAGAGAGCAATGCACGCCAGAGAGCAATGGAGAGCAGCAGCAGGTCTTGGGTTCAACCACGATCCAGTTTCCAGGGGTCTTCCTTTTTGCCTCATTTCCCAAACTTTAATAAACTAATTCTCACTTTAAAAAAAAAAAAGCCACCCTGGCTGGGGTGGCTCAGTGGACTGAGCGCCAGCCTGCAAACCAAAGGGTTGCTGGTTCAATGCCCAGTCAGGGCACATGCCTGGGTTGCAGGCCAAGTCCCTGGTAGGGGGTGTGTGACAGGCAACCACACATTGATGTTTCTGTTCTTCTTTCCTTTCCTCCCTTCCCATCTCTAAAAATAAATAAATAAATAAAATCTTTTTAAAAAATGTCCTCACCAGTGACCTGTACTAACTGGGCTTTCCAAGTCCCCTGAGCCCTTCATTCCTCAGGTGTTGTTGTGTTCTCACCTGTGAGCTCTGTACACTGTTTGCTTTTCCAATTTCTGGGTAGATTCTGGACTTCGCAGGGCTAGTTTCATTGTCTGCGCCTTCTCTCCCTGCAGCCCCAATGACTGCTGTACTGAACCCTCATAGAATAGGATTAGAGGTCAGTAGACTTGCTGGAAACCTAATGGATCACATTGATTAGTGAGGAAAAACATATTTTATATTCCCACGGTGGTGGGAGAATAAATTTTATAACCGAAGAATTCTGAAAGGCCTTAAAAATACCCACCCCAATGTTCCTCTGCAACCAGTTGCTCCAAGAAATCATACAGCCCTAACCAGGGTTGCTCAGTGGTTTGAGCTCCGGCCTGTGAACCATTCTTGTTATTTCTGAGGAAGAGGTTTTCTGGTTTAACTATTGGTGGTGTGCAGATGTTTTCTTTTAGTGTTTTGAATATATCATTTGATATTGTCCTACTTGCAAGGTTTCTTCAGAGAAATCTGCTGTTAGTCTTATCGGAGCCTTGTCCTGTATATGAGGAGTTTCTATTCTCTTTGGTCTTTTAAATTTTTCTTTGCCTTTTATTTTTGACACTTCTGTTATATTGTGTCTTACAGAAGTCCTATTTGCATTGTGTCTGGAGAGGGAACTCACATGATCATGAACATGGTTATTCATATTTCTTTTTCATTTTTAGAAGTCAATCTTTACCTCATTTATTAAAAGTAAAATTTTTGTCCCTTTGCTTCAGCTCCCTTTTCTGTATCTTTTTTCAGCATCTCTGGGACTCCCATAATGCAAATATAGGTTATCTCTGTGGTGTTCCAGAATTCATCTAGGCTGTCTTTCCTCTCATTTTTTTTCTTTTACATAGAAGTTTTCATATAACCTGCCTCTGAGATAAGGACTCCATTTTACTCCTTGATCTTCTCTGCTTTTGAAACTCTTATTTTCATTTTATTTATTGTATTCTCTATTCCATAATATTCATTTCATTCTTTATGAAAGAATTTCATAAAGGATTTATGAAATTCTTTTGAGAATTTTATTGATTTCTACCTCTCTGAAACCCATGTGTTGTTTATATATTTGTTTGTTTGTTATGTTGAGTTCCATGTGTGTTCACCTTTACTGAGGTTTTAAAAAATTATTATATTTTTGTTGGGCAGTTTGCATGCCTCCATTTATTAGAAATTTCAGTTGAACATTGTGATGTTCCTCTTGTGATTTTTTTGTTGTATTTCTCTTTGTCTTCCTGTTAATATCTGAGCATTTGGTGAAACAATGACTTTTTTGGACTTTATAAAACCAATTTTGTTTAGACAAGTACTTCTTTTTAAAGACTTTATTTATTATTTAGAGAGAGGGGACAGGAGGGAGAAAGTGGGGGAAACAAACATCGATGTGCGAGAGAAACATCAATTGGTTGCTTGTTGCCCTCTCCCAACTAGAGACCTGGACCACAACCCAGGCATGTGCCCTGGTTGAGAATCTACTGGCAAACAATTGTATTTAGAGAAATAGTTTTATCTGCTTGTGGATACAATAGTACTTGATAGGTAGTGTGTTGTTTTTGGTGCTGAACTCAAGTTTCACTTCTCATTCTTATTGCTACCTCATGAGCTGAAGCATGAAGAGTAGAGGAGGCTATAGGCATCCTCAGTGGCCAGGGCAGCGGTTTTCCAGTATTTGTTGATCTCTTGGAGTCTTTGGTGGCAAACATTGCTGGGGAAATACTGATGTTATTCTTTCACAAGTCATGTTGTGGTCAAGGGCATTCCTCTTGATATCTGTGCTGACAAACTCCACAGCTTCTTTGAGGTGAATTCCGTGGGGAGTTTGTAGATACAGAGAATCCTGAAGTTCTTAGTGACAGCAGTTTCCATGGTTACTCACAAAGAGTCCATTAGAATCCACTGTAGCACAAGCACGGTGGCTTGGAGGAGAAGCCGTCATCCTCGCCTCATCATCTTTGCTAGGCCCGTCTCTCTCGTAGTTGTTTCTGTGCAGTTCTTTCTTTTATGCTCCGCTTTATGACACATTGGAAAAACTGGTCTGTAACCCTTTACCTCTTTCCTCCCAGTCTGCTTTTTATCATAGATAATTGTGTAATTATTTTGGAGGGTGGTTGAATATTTGTATTTTATATTCTGCCATCTTGCTGACATTTCTTACACAGATCTTTTCCCTTTGGTCTCTTTGTGCTGAGTTGTTCTGTAACAGTGCTGGTTATTCAGCTCTTCTGTTTTCTCTTAGGAGTTTCTCTTAGGAGTTGCATCATCAGTATTCCATGTGATTGATCAACTGGGAATGAATTGGAATGGTCCTTTGTGTATTAAAAGAGGGACACCAGTCCAGCCATGACAGGATGGGCTCACAAGGGTTCTGGTATTGGTGAATGGCAGTTGGGCAGGGTTTGATGCCAGGGCTTTGTTAGAACGTAATGAGGAACCTGTTTAATTGTATTTTGTTACCATTACCAGTGACCACACCTTAATCTACTTATGTTTTCTGAATGCTGGCACTTTGCTAGTTTGTTAGTTCTAGTTATTTCTACTCTGACTTCCAGCCAAAGTTAGTATCTGTCTGTCTAACCTCCACAATGGATCCCCAGGCTTTGTCTGTATTTATAGCCACTTCCTATTGCTTGAATTTTCTCCTGTCTGATCAGAGGCAGTATTAGATTCTCACAGGAGCGTGAAACCCACTGTGAACTGTGTATGTGAGGGATCTGGTGGCGTGCTCCTTATGAGAATCTGATGCAAGATGATCTGAAGTGTAGCTGAGGCGGTTATGCTAGTACTGAAGAGCAGCTGCAAATACAGATTATCATTAACAGGGATTCTGTATTATAGTGATTTGTATTATTTTATTATATATTACAATGTAATAATAGAGGTAAAGTGCACAATAAATGTAATGCACTTTAATCATCCTGAAATCACTCCCCTCTGCCAATCCTCTTGGTCCATGGAAAAACTGTCTTCCATAAAACCAGTCCCAGGTACCAAAAAGTTGGGGACCACTGTTCTACACCACAACTATTTCTCTAGAGTCCTTTTGGTGTGCTTTCCAACTTCAGTTAATGCCTGTTGAATTTTCAAGTGTGCATATATTTTTATACAAACCCTGTACAGCATCTCCTATGCTACAGTTGATTTTCATGTTCTGAGCACATTCATATTTCACTGCACAGCCTTATGTCACCAGCAGGAAGGGTTTTGCAGGCAGCCATCAACAGTGGAACCGCTTGAAAGCCCAGCCTCTCTTTTGTGTGTCCTGTCCTATCTTAGTGTCCTTTGTTTAATGAGGTTTCCATTCTGTATTGGCCTTACTGCCTGGTGATGCATAACTACAGGTTTTTTAGAGTCTGTTTCACTAGTGTTAAAACCATCATGTGGCATCATGACTAGACATGACAGATGCAAATTTGTGGTGCAAATACCTCTCCCATTGGTTAGTATATACTTCAACGGTGTTTCTTTTTGTTTAGATTGCTGCTGTGGAGCAGAGGCTGTGGAGGCTCCCATTGAACAGAGTGTTACTATAAGAGTCTCATAGGTGAAGAATCTCAAAGCAGCTTTGTCTTCCCAGAAGAGCCACCCTGTGAGAGTTGTGGACCTGTCTTGAGAGACATTTTCCTCTTGGTTGACCCAGCAGGGAACATAACACAGAAATTGCCACAGTGTGGGGCATGTACAAAATAATTTTATTTCAGTGCACAGTGTCACCAACACCAGAAAGAGCACAGAACAAAAAATTGTTTCACAAGCAGTGTGGATAGAGTCCCACTTGAAGAGAGCTGTAATTTCCATGTGTCGTGGAAGCCTTGTACCTGTAGTCAAGTTGGAAAATACTTTGTTGTCTGCTCAGAACTTCTTGAGCAAGCGGCTACTCAGACCATGCACAAGGCAAATGAAATCTCTGAGTCGGAAATGACTTTTCAAAGTACAGAATGTTATTACAACCCAGGAGAATGTAAGAAAGCCATTGGCTGTGATGACACACTTGTTGACGATCATGGTTTCCTTACTGGAAGTCAGAGTTATGTGTGTTGTGAATGTGGCAAATCTTTTACCAGTCACTCTACCCTTCATGATCATCAGAGAGTTCACACTGGAGAAAGGCCTTATGAGTGTGGTGAGTGTGGGAAATCATTTAAAAGGAAATATCACTTTCATTGTCATCAGAGAGTTCACACTGGAGAAAGGCCATACAAGTGCTCAGAATGTGGGAAATCTTTTACCTGTAGCTCTCACCTTCATTGTCATGTGAGAGTTCACACTGGAGAAAGTCCTTATGAGTGCTCAGAATGTGGGAAATGTTTTAACAGTAAGTCTGACCTCCGCAAACATAACAGAGTTCATACTGGAGAAAGGCCTTATGATTGTGGTGAATGTGGGAAAGCTTTTACCAATAGCTCTGCTCTCCGTGATCATCAGAGAGTTCACACAGGAGAAAGGCCTTATGACTGCAGTGAATGTGGGAAATGCTTTACCAATAGGTCTGCCCTTCATTGTCATCAAAGAGTTCACAATGGAGACAGGCCTTATGAGTGCCGTGAATGTGGGAAATCTTATACCAGTAGCTCTGCTCTCCGTTATCATCAGACAGTTCACACTGGAGAAAGGCCTTATGAGTGCAGTGAATGTGGAAAATCTTTTACCAGTAGGTCAGACCTCCGTAAACATCACAGGGTTCACACCAATGCAAAGCCATATGAATGTGGTGAATGTGGGAAATCTTTTACCAGTAGCTCTGACCTCCGTAAGCATCACAGAGTCCACACTAAAGCAAGGCCTTATGAGTGTGGTGAATGTGGGAAATCTTTTACCAGTAGCTCTGATCTATGTAAACATCACAGAGTTCACACTGGAGAAAGGCCTTATGAGTGTGGTGAATGTGGAAAATCTTTTACCAGTAGTTCTGCCCTCTGTAAACATCACAGAGTCCACACAGGAGAACGGCCTTATGAGTGCAGTGAATGTGGGAAATCTTTTAAGAGGAAATATGACTTTCATTGTCATCAGAGACTTCACACCGGGGAAAGGCCTTATGAGTGCAGTGAGTGTGGGAAATGCTTTATAAAACGCTCCAGCCTTATCCAACACCATCGAATTCATTCTGGACAAAAGTCATGAGTGTGGCAAATGTTGTAAGTCTTTGAGTCAAAGCACTAACCTCATTCAACACCGCAGAGTTCGCACAGGAGAATGATTGTAGGGAATGTGGAGAATCTTACCAGTAGAAGTAACCTCAGTTACCGTCATCAAATATTTCACACTGGAGAACCACCATATGATTGCAGTGCATGTGGAAGTGTTATATAGGCTTTGTTACCATCAACGATTTCACTCTGGACAAAGGCCTTAAGAGTACAATGAATGAGAAATCTTTTTTCATTAGTAATGTTTACAATCAACAGAGAGCTCCTACAGGAGAGGGGTTGTATGAATGCAGTGTTGTGGGAAGACTTTTTTCAGAAACTTTGACCTTCATTGTCATTAGATGGTTTACACTGGAGAAAGAACTTTTTGGAGAAAAAAAAATCTTCGCCTGTGCATATGTTTATTGATTTCTAGAGAGAGAGGGTGAGAGGAAAAATGTAGAAAGAAACATCAGTTGGTTGTGTGTTGTACGTGCCTTGATCAGGAATCATACCCACAACCTACGTGTGTGGCATGCCTGGAATCCGATTCACAACTCTTTGGTGCACTGGACGATGCTCCAACTTACTGAACCACCCGGCCATGGCTGGAGGAGGTACTTTAGAGTGTAGTGATGTGCCAAATTTTAATCAGAAACTGATCTTCATTCTCATCAGAGTTCCCATTGGAGAAAGGCCCTATGAGTACAGTGAATATGGGAAATATTTTGCCCAAAATTCTAACCCATCTTTGTACATAAAGAGTTCACATTGGTGGGATTTCTTAGATATATATGAAATGTACCTTTCCCTTATTTAGTGTTAACAACACTGGAGCCAACTCTGATTAGGGAAAACCATGATTGCTACAGAATTACAGGACTAATAATAATTGGAGGAGACTGCAGCCAGCTAGTGGAGTGTGCCTTTTCTGAATGTACATCCAGAAATGATACTGAGAAAAAGACCGCAGCATCATTATGCACACAAATCTGATGATCTCCAGGCATGTTTATCTTCTGTGGCCAAAATAATTGCCAGTTAAAATTGTAAAGAATTTTTGTGGATTTCTGTAGCCTTTCAGATATTCACCTAAGACCATTGGTACCGAGGTAAGGACACAAAGAAAAGGGGTATGTATAAGAAAAATTAAAAATAATTTAATAAAGCACTACCTGTAGAATAGGTATGTGACTTCACTGACTCAGCCTGCATTCTTATTGATTTAAATCAAAGTTATTTATTATTTGGTGTATTTGATGTCATTGAGAAAAATGGAATTCTAGAGGGCATGACGTCATGGATTAGATATAAAATTGCCAGACCTGTTTTCCAAAGAGTCTTGGACATACAGATTTTTCAAATTTTGAACAATTCCTTAAAAGTTTTTCTTAGTAAATCATGTATTTCAAATACAGTATTTGAGAAGTTTTGACCTAGGCATGAAACTGAAACCATCATCATGACCATAATACTGACTGTATCTGTCACTGTTTGTTTACCTCATGTCCTTTTCTAATCTCTCTCCCTGCCCTTCAAGTCTCTCTAACTATTGATTTACATTCCATTTTAATAGATAGCTTTGCATTTAATAGAATCTATATGTTTGGAATCAGAATAGTTTTACTGCTTTTATTTATGTTATGTAAATACTTGGAGGTTCAGTAATGATATATTTGCAGTTGATCTTTTTTGTTGGTTTAGAATTATTGTTTTTGAATATGTCACCACTTGTTTATTCATTTGTTCATGGGAATTGAGTTATTTGTATACTCTGACTTGAAAATAAAGCTGGTAGAAACATTTGTATATAATTATCTATGTGGATATGTTTTATTTATCCTTGTCAATGACTCATAATGCAACCTCATAGTTGGAGTGTAGGTGAATGTTTAACTGAGAGAAATTAGCAAGTTGTGCCCTGGCTCGGGTAGCTTAGTTGGTTGGAGTGGTGTCTCCAAACCGAAGGGGCGTGAATTCCATTTTTAGTCTGGGCATATAGCTAGGTCGCAAGTTTGATCCCCGGTTTGGGCACGTACTGGAGGCAACCAGTCAATGTCTCTAATGTTGTTTCGCTCTCCTCTTTAAAAGCAATCCAAAAAATGTCCATGGTTGAGGCTTTAACAAAAAGAAATTAGCAAGTTGTGATCTAAAGTGATTGTACTTTTTTTGCATTTTTTGAGGAGTGTGTGAGGTACTCATTTCCTCCATATTCTAGAGAAAGAATATTTGCTTTGGTTGGTTATTTATCTGCCTGTTAAAATCCTTACCTGTAGAGATGTCTGTTGATTTTAGAAGCAGCAAGGAAGAGAGAAAGAGAGACAGAGATGTGAAAGAAACATTTGGTTGTTTCCCCCACATCCCATAACCTGGGAACTGAACCCACAACCTATTGGAGTATGGGACGATGCCCTAACTGAGCCATCCTACCAGATCTGGTCAGTCATTACCTACTTAAACTTTGTATAACTGTCTTGCTACCACACTTTTTTTTCTTAAAGATTTTATTTATTTTTAGAGGGGGGGAAGGGAGGGAGAAAGAGGCAGGAAAACGTCAATTTGCAGTTGCCTCTTGAGTGTCCCCCACTGGCCCCTATTCAGGTAAGCCAAGCATGTGCCCTGACTGGAGATCAAACTGGTGACCCTTTGGTTCGCAGGCCGGTACTCAATCCACTGAGCCACACTAGCTAGGGCCTTATTTTTTTTTAATTTTTAAATAGATTTTTAGAGACAGGGATAGAGAGAAACATCAAATTGTTGTTCTACTCATGAATTTATTGGTTGATTCTCATATGTGCCCTCACTAGGGAACAAACCCACAATCTTGGTGTATTTGGATAATCAAACCAACTGAGTCTTCCCTTCGATGCGTATTTGGTGTTTCTGCATGTTTGATGAAATGACGATGTGTTTGACTAACTCTGCTATGAATTTTGGTAATACTTTTTTTAAAGAAAAGGGCAGTGAAACAAAACTGCATGTTGAAATTCACTCAGTTTGTGCCTTTGTTTGCTTTGTGGAATAAATCTTTTTCATATGGGAATGATGTATTCTAATATTTTTTACACTTTTAACAGTATGTAAAATGCAGTGGACACTTTCAGTTTTCATTTGCACTGTTAACATTCTCCATCATTTTCAGGGGTCTAGTCATTTGATAATACAATAAGCCCTTTCTGTGCAGTTTTCTCCCAATTTCCTGGTCTGCTATCCTGGGGATTCTTGGATTGGAACAGAACTCTCAGGGAAACCAGATGGCATCAGAACGGGCAGGGTGATTTTTTAGTCCCAGAGCCCATTGCTGAGGGAAGTAGGAGGGCAGTGATCAGACTCCCGATGCCCAGCATCTGGCACCCTGAGTTTGAATCCCAGGTTCCCGAATATCATTGAAACTCATTGGGAATGAACACTCTTTCTGGTCTGGGCTTTACCTTGTGTGTGTGTGTGTGTGTGTGTGTGTGTGTGTGTGTGTAAAATGAGTGTAAGGTATGCCTCCATCACTTAGCTGTTGGAGGTCAAGAGCTAAAGTGACCGTTTGCTTTGCAGCAGAACCATAGCTTGCCTATAGAGACATTTTCAGGGCATGTGCTCCTAATTTTCTCTAATGCCCTCAAACACTTTTGTTTTTTGGTTCCTTTAACAAAGGAATGAGTTTAAGAACCCACTGACCCACCAGTTTCTTAAAGGGGTTTAAGAACCTGTTGTCTTAAGGGAGGCAGGTGCTGTGAGCACTGAGGTCTCGGTGTAGTGTTCCCACCCAGGAATCTCCAGTTGACTCACGATGGCTCCCGGAATGTCAGTTGGCTGCATGTGACAAGCAGTTGATGGCACTTTCCTTGGCCTCCAGGGATCAATAAAAGAAAGAAACTGCGGGCTTGCAGGTGCCAGGATTCCAGGGTTAGCTCCTTGAGCATTTGCTCTTTCTCACAACAACTTGGGAAGTGAAAACTGATACTGAAGCGCTCAGAAAATCCAGGGTTAGAGGAATGAAGTAGGTTCTCCATGTTTGCACAACAGATAAGTGTCAGATTTAAGAGGCTAGTTTCCAACCCAGAACCCTGGCTCCAGAGCTTGGGACAATCTACCAGTGCTTGTGAAACCCTCACTGGGGCAGATACACTGAGGACCAGGGAGGGTCAGCTGAAGCTGCTGTTTTTATTGTTGCAATTATTTTTCCCCCATTTCCCTTACGTCTCAGAGGACTTACCTTCTGCCCCTTAGTGTTCACTAGAACACCATGAAGTGTCAGTTCCATTCATTTTCCCAGGGGAGCCGTTTTCTGAGCTGGAGCACAGTGTGTCTTGCCTTTGAGCCCAGCACAAAAGTTGAGCCTCAGGAGACCTTAGTAATTTGGACCTGGGTCTCTGTACCTTCATTCACATTTTGGGACACAGGATGTGATCCCATTCACTGTAGTGAATTTAATGTCTCAATTCAGGTCTTTTGAGTGGTGTTAATACCTGGCACTGATATTCACCCTGCAGGAGAGTGGACAACTGCATGTGAATTAGGAGGCCTTAAATTCAGAAAGTGATGCTGGAGACCTGTGACATCCTGGTTTCATTGGGTGACTTCTCCATGCAAGGGACCTACTACTCGTATGTCTCTGTCCTCTGCCCATAATGGCTGCATTATGCAGTCGTGCACACAGTGTGTTCCCTTCAACCCTGACCATATTCTAGGGAAAGTTCTTTCCAGTTACCCTGTATTAGCACAGCAGATCTTTAGGTTTGAATATAGATTTTTTCTGAACACATCCCCTCACCCCAATGGCTGGTATACTCTGGCCAATACTGAGATTTTTTTCCTCAAAACTCCAGGACACAAGTACACATTTTAGAATACAATCTATACAGAAAAAATTGTAAGCCCTGTCTGGGTAGCTCAGTTGGTTAGTGTCATCCCGATAGGGCAAGATAGTGTTTTATCCCTGGTTAGGGCCATATAAAAAGCAACCAATGAATGTGTAAATAAAGTACAACAGCTAATTGATGTCTCTGTCTCTTTCTCGAATCAATAAGTAAAAAATAATTAAAAATTTAACTGTGGGTCATTCTAAAGAAAATAATAACCATAGTCACAGGTTAGGTCCCCTAAGTACAGACCAGATGGCAGGTTAGTCAGGCGCAGTTCAAATACCACTCACTGAATTCTAACATCACTCTTATTTTTGAAAATTTGTTTGTATTTAATTGAATTCATTGGGGGTGACAGTGGATAATACAATTTTACAAGTTTTAAGTATACGATTCTATAATGTGTCATCTGTGTATTGTATTGTATGTTCACCACCTTAAGTCTCCTTTCATTGCCATTTTTCCCACCTCCCCTACCCCTACCTCTACCCCACATCCCCTATGGTAATCACCATGTCATCCTTATTCTTTAGCTTTCCGATTCTTTATGTGCTTGATTGTCTTGCTATTTTGCACTTTACAATATTTTTGGCATGCTTCAGAAAGTTTTAACAGCCACCCTCACCAAATATGTTAGTAAGCCCTGGCCAGTTAGCTCAGTTATTACAGCACTGCCAAAGTCGCGTGTTTGATCCCTAGTCAGGGCACATACAGGGATCAACCAATGAAATGTATAAATAAGTGGGACAAAAAAAATGAATTCTCTTTCTGTAGGGAACTGGTTTGTTTTGGCAAATGTGACTCAGCTATGAATGGAAAACCTACAGAAGCGAGGTGGTGGGCAGGAGCCTGACCCTCAAACCAGGTTTTCCCATGGGAATCAGACCTAAAAAATACATACAAACGGTTATGACTTGCTCTTGCCAAAACTCCCTCACCCTGGTCTGAAACAGTAGATGTTCATTGTCTGTCTTCAAGGTGATTTCCAAAACCTGTGTGAATTTTCCCAAGGTCGGAGCTAATCAGCTCACCGTCTTTCCCTTCTGCATTTGTTATTTTCATTTCCTTGATTGTACGTAAAATGTAGACAACAATAGTCTATGTGATAGATAATAAATCCTTCTTTGATGTAAGACCTGAGAAAAACAATAAGAGCCTGTCCAGGCAGGGGTCGGGCCCTCTCCCCCTGAGAGAGTGGCCAAGGTGCTCTCCACTTGAGAGAAGTGACCACAGGACTCTCATTTTAAGAGAGTACTGTACCGTCCCTTTCTGCGCATGCTTGCTGTAGCCTGTGCATTTGTTTTTGTCTTCAGTCACAACACACTGAGACTGCGGGCCAGAGTCTGCCATGTCTCTCTCCCCTCCAGTCATTAAATTTAAAAAATTTGGTAATAATATTCCAAATTCCATTTGTAACTCATGATCTGTAGAGGTCAAAAATGTATATCCAACATACTTATAAAAATACTAAATGTCAATTAAAAAATGAATGAAAGAGTGCCTTTAAAATTTTTTTGTGAAATTTATTTCAGCCAAACAGAATATGCCTAAAAGAAAAGAAATACAGAAAAATGCTTGTTTTTGTTGTTTATTTTTGTAATGGAGTAAGCTTTTAGGATGAATGTGGAGAGGTACATTGTGTTTGCTCAGCAATAAGAGCAAGAATGCTCCCGACAGTTTGTAAGGGAAACCTGGAGGGGACGTACTAGGCAGCCCTAAAGCAAGTAAATGAGGAGGCACCATGGCTCAATGACCCTCAGAATATATCCCTCCTGCCTCTGTCACTATTTGTGTTCCAACTTCAGAAAACAGTTGTTTGCCACAAAAAGTTTCTTACTGAATTTTCTGTGATAGGGTCTATTTTAAACTTCTAAGAATAAGAGATGTACCTGTGAAGAGTGGTTACGTACCAAATTTGCATTTCGTGCCAGGATGCCGGCAAGGTTGGCATTTGTGGAGATTTGAAAAGTGGGTATCCTTGAGATAAAGATCTTGGATCCCAGAATTCCTCAATTTTGCCAGAAAATGATTGTTTTACCAGTAAATGCAGTGACAATGTCTGCATAGGGACTGCATATGTTTTCTGGAAGAGAATTAGGGTTAAGTACACTACAGAAATGTATTAATGTTGATTATGGAGTAATACAGTGAAAATTACATAGAGTGCTAGAAGAGAAAAGACTTGAAGACAGAACAGGTAGGTCTCAATGATGGCAAATAAAGGACCTTAAGATCTAACAAGTTAGAGATTAAGTTTATTTTTAATTTTATTTTTGAATTTAATTAATTTTTAAATAATTTTATTAAAGATTTTAATTATTTTCTTTTAGACAGAGGGGAAGGGAAGTAGTAAGAGAGGGAGAGAAACATGAATGCATGAGAGATATATATCCATCAATTGCCTCTTACATGCCCTTCAACTGGGGACCTGGTCCATAACCCAGGCATGTGCCCTAACTGGGAATGGAACCAGTGACCCGTTGGGTCACAAACCTGGGCTCAGTCCACTGAACCACACCAGCCAGAGCCCAAAAAAGCAAAATTTTTTTGTTTTTTTTTTTTAAAGAGAAACATCAATGTGTGGTTGCCTCTCATGCGAGCCTCACCGGGGACCTGACCCTCAACCTAGGCATGCGCCCTGACTGGGAATCAAACTGGTGACCTCTCAGTTCACAGGTGAGTGCTCCAGCACTCAATCCACTAAGCCACACCAGCCTGGGAATAATTTTAATTTTTTATTTTAGAAATAGAGAAGAATTGGGGAGAGAGAGAGAGAGAGAAACATCAATTTGTTGTACCATTCATTTATGAAGTCTTCGGTTGATTCTTGCAGATGCCCTGAGTAGAGATTGAACCCACAACCTTGCCATATGATGACATGGTGCTCTAACCTACTGAGCTATCTGGCTGAGGCTAAGAGATTGACTTTAACTATGGATTTTGTCAGATGGGTACAAGATTTATCAGAATGATCACTTAGTAAGTTATATAATATCTAATCACTGGGGTGTACACCGAAAACTAATAGTGGGTTGGCCAAAAAGTTTGTTTGTTTGTTTGTTTTTAAGAAGGCTCTAGTAGTGTTTAGTTGTCTTAACTTCATTCAAAAGAATTCTGTTAGATTGTATTGGGACATATCAGCATGCATTTACAAAAACTTATCAAAATTAGTGAATTTTTGTGTAGCCATTTTAATATTGAAGATGGGAGAAAATAAGCAACATTTTTGGCATATTATGCTTTATTATTTCATGAAAGGTAAAACTACAAACAAATAGAATTGTACAGTGTCTGGAGAAGGTGCTGTGACTGATCAAAAATGTCAAAAGTGGTTTGTTTGTGAAGTTTCGTGCTTGAGATTTCTTGCTAGATAATGCTCCACGGTCAGGTAGACCAGTTGAAGTTGAAAGTGACGAAATCAAGACATTAATTGAGAACAATCAATGAGAAAGTCACATGAGAAATAGCTGACATACTCAAAATATCCAAATATCTAAGTGAAGTTATGGTGAAAATAAAAAATGTGTTTTTTATTTTAAAGAAAAAGCTAAATGGACTTTTTGGCGAACCCAATATACACTTTATCTGTTCTTTTAAAAAATTATAGTGTACATTCAATATTATTTTATATCAGGTATACAGCATAGTGGTTGGACAGTCATATACTTTATAATCCAATCCCTTAGTATTTCAATGACCCACCTAGCACCGTACATTCCTGGAGCCTTCTGCGCTGAGTACTTGTGGAAAAAAAAATGAGCTCTGAGAACCCCATGATTGGCTGCAATTCACACAGACACCACCACATGGAGTAGGTGGCTTCAGGACTCTGAGGTCTAAGTATGAATTCCCCACCAGGATATTTCTGAATGACTCTAAATCCCTCTAAAACTCACTTCACTGGCTGATAGAGAATTAATGAAGTCACTAACAATAGCCCCTATGAGGATCAATAAAAGTAAAGAAAAAACACTAAAAAACACTGCCACTAGTATTCCAGGTTTTGGGGTTTTTTTATTTTTCTTTTTAATATTATTTTTAAAGATATTATTTATTTTTAGAGAGGGGAAGAGAAGGAGGACAGAGAGAGAGAAACATCAACATGTGGTTGCCTGTTGAGTACCCGCCCCCCCCAAGGAACCGGACCACAACCCAGGCATGTGCCCCAGACTTGGAAATGAACTGGCAATGCTTTGGTTCACAGGTAGGCACTCAACCTGCTGAGCCACACCAGTCAGGGGTAATTATTTTCATAACTTTAATTACATTTTATTAATTATGCCATTAGAGTTGCCCCATTTTTCTCCCTTTGCCACCCTTCATGCAGCACACCCCAATTCCTCAGGAAATCTCCCCACTATTATTTGTGTTCATGGGTCATGCATGCATGTTCTTTGGCTACTCAATATCCTATACTGTACTTTACATTTACATGGCTACTCTGTAACTACCTATTTTGTACTTAATTCTCTCACCTCTTCATGCATTCTCCGACACATACCCTTTCCATCTTTCAAACATCAAAACGGTATACCCATAATTCTGTCTGTTCTTGTTTGCTTAGTTTGTTGCTTTTTTTAGAGTCAATTGTTGATAGAAATGTATTTATTGCCATTTTATTGTTCATATTTTTTGTCTTTTTCTTAAAGAAGTCCCTTTAACATTTTATATAGTAATGATTTGGTGATGATGAACTTTAGTTTTTTCTTCTCTGGAAAGACCTTTATCTGCCCTTTGATTCTAAATGATAGCTTTGCTGGGTAGAGCAATTTTAGCTGTAGGTCCCTGCTAATATTCATGAATATGAATATTTCTGGCCAATCTCTTCTAGGCTGTAGGATTCTTCTCACAGATCAGCTCACAGTCTTATGGGAACTTCCCTGTAGGTAACTAACTGCTTTTCTTTTGCAAAATATTTAGATCAAACACCAAAGGTTCAGTGTGTTGTCTCAGTTATTTGAGCAAGAATACTCCATTTTGTAGGGGGAACCTGGTGAGGGAGGAGGTCCTAGGCAGACCTAAAGCAAGTGGATGAGGTGTCACCATGGCTCATAGACCCTCAGAATATAGCCCTCTGCCTCTCTGTCAGTGTGTGTTTTGTAACTACCAAAGCAATTGTGTGAGCACATGAAATATCTTACTGAGCTTTCTGGGATACTGTGTATGATGAACTTTTATGAATATGACATGTGCCTGGAGATCAGGGTTATGTATCAAATGTAAGTTTGCTGCCAGGATGGCTGCAATGTTGGGATTCATGAAGGTTTTAAAAGTAGGCATTTGAACGTGAGATGAAAGTTTTGGATTTGGGGATTTTTCTTCCTTGCAAGGAAACGATGATCATTTTACCAGTAAATGCAGTGACAATTTCTGCCTGGGGACTGCAGATTATTTCTGCAAAAAGTTACAGAGTGAGCAAAATACAGAAAGGTACGAATATTGATTAATGGAGTTGTAACTGGTCATTAGTTTAATATTTAGAAGAAAAAAGGTTCTGTTGGTACTGAGAACAGGTCAGTCTCCACACATGGAATGGTGCCCTTTGTCACTGAGCCCTACGAAGTGGGAGAATTAACTTGAGCTCCGGCTCTGCTGGACACGTGGCTACCCTGAAATTCTTTCTTCTTCCAAGTGTTGGTTGTATTCATTCCTGAGAACTTGAGGAGAAATAGAGAGGTCAGACAGATACAGAAAGTAGTGAGCTGAGAAATTTAGAAGAATTGAAGGAAAGCCATGACATCATATTTCTTTCCTCAGACAACTGTTTACTAATTATCTCACCTCCTCCAGAGGCTCACCTTAGTCTAAGGGTAGCTATGGTCAGTAGGTTGACTCCATGGCCAGGTTGTTTTGTGTAAATTGATTGAATTACCTTCACCAAGAGAGGATCGTTGGCCTTCCCACTCACTGTGAGGAGTTCCTCATCAGATCTGTGCCTCTGGTGAAACATGAGCTTGGGCCCAACTCTGAATGATAATGTCTCGGGAATAAGGCAGCAGGTACAGCTCATGAGTGTGGCCGATTTGTGTTGATGGCAAACACATTGCCCTAGATGTTCACCAGCTTTCAGACAACAGGGTCGTCTGTGGTGGTGAGTATGTGGAAAATGGTCCTGATGCTCCCCTGTGGCTTGTCGGCTTATTTCATGGGGATGCAGTGAAAGGTTTTATCATAGTATTGTAGGGTCACACATCACTGGATGTCGTGGCTCAGACACTTCCAAGAAGAACATCCTCATTAATGGAGGTAAGTCCATTTCTCTTTCAGCTTCCCGTTTCAGTAAACTTCAGAGTCTCATGGTGTCTGTTAAGTATAGTTCCATTTTTTTTCTCACTCTAAATTGTTTCTGGACTTTTTTTCTACCGATATGTGTGTTTCCTTGGTGCTTTTAGGCAGTATGTGCAGATTCAACTGCTCTCTGTATTTTGTATCTTTGTCTTGGCCTAGGGTCTGCTATGAAAGTAGCATCTGATTCAGCTGGTAGGCTGTCTTCTCTGTACACGCTACGTCAGTACCACTCAAAACAGTTTCATCCTCCTTGTGGCCATAAACATATTGACTTCACTCTACAACTGAGAGGGGTACTAATACATGTCCCTGCTATGTTGGTATGTGGCAGCCATCCAGCATGCATCCTTTGTGAACTGAGTTCTTTGCTGAATGGCTGGTAGTGCAGATTCTGAAAGTCATTGAAAATTGCCTAAGGGACCCCACCCAACCTGAGGAGTTGTCTTGGATCCGGGGTGTCATAAACTTTGCAATCTTCTAAAGCCTGCAAACACCTCAGCCAGTCTGGGTAGTGAATGATGATTTGAGATCCAGACCTGGACACCTACAAGGTATGATAAACAGGGAAAATGGGATTTAAATTTTTAAATAGGAAAAGACTTCTTACAAAATTACTATATTTAAAAAAATTTTAAACATTTTATTTCTTTTTAGAGAGAGTGGAAGGAAAAGAGAGAAAAGGGAGAGAAACATCGATGTGTTATGTATTTTACGGAGAGGAAAGGAGAGTAGGATAAAGAAATGTTGATATGTTATCCCACTGATTTATGCATTCATTAGCTAATTCTTACAAATGGCCTGACTGGGCATTGAACCCACAACTTTGTGTGTTGGATAGATCCTCTCACAGACTGACGTACCCTCAACCAATGTAAAAGAATTCTCACCTCAACATGGCTCAACTTTCATTATGAATATGTACTTCTTTATTGATCTGAATATAATTCCTGCATATATGTCTAATTGTAACAGAGTCACTGTGGGTTCTGTTCCTCTGCATTCTATTGCTTAAAGCTGAAGAAGCCCTTGACTCCCAAAGTCAAGGGTGTTCTGAAAAGAAAACGAACCATGTATTTAAAAGTTATACAAGTTTATTCCAAGTCATGAAAGGCAAGGACCTACGTCCAAGATTGCTCTATCCAGGAAAGCTATCATTTAGAATGGAAGGCCAGAGAAAGTGCTTCCCAGATAAGGTCAAGTTAAAGGAGTTTATCCTCACCAAGCCCTTATTATATGCAATGTTAAAGGGATTTATCTAAGAAAAAGAAAAAATATATGAACAGTAAAATGACAGCAAACTCACAATTATTAACAACCACACCTAAAACATAAACAAAAGCAAGCTAAGCAAACATCCAGAACAGGAACAGAAACGTAGAAATGGAGATCACATGGAGGGTTATCCACAGAGGGGTGGGAGAGGGAGAGCGGGAAAAGGTACAGAGAATAAGTAGCATAGATGGTAGGTAGAAAATAGACAGGGGGAGGGCAAGAATGGTATAGGAAATGTAGGAGCTAAAGAACTTACATGTACCACCCATAGAAACTAAAGGGGGACAATGTGGGTGAGAGGGGTGTGCAGGGTGGAGGGAAGTGAAGGGGTGAAAATGGGAAAACGTAATAGCATAATCAATAAAATATATTTAAAAAAAAGAAAAGAGGGAGGAATTGCAGGCACACCAGAGAGTACCTCCCTCAAGAAGTGATGCCCGCTGGGGGGCGACAGAGCGCGTTTAATATTCAGAGAATATTCTTGGGGTCTGTTAAATCCACTCTTAGAGTCCTTGGGTTAAATACAGCACCCCAGTCTTGGAGTGCAAGAACTACACTACCCAGAAGGCAGACGAGGAATTCCAGGACCATGAGCCAATGAACACTCAGTAAAGGCATTTCCGTTTGGACAGGACGGGACTCAGGTCCTCAGTGGCGGGCATTTCCTCTTCTCCCAGGTGTGTGTTAGAACTAAGTCAGGATCTTGGATCTCAAAAATCCAGTGGAGAAGGTGGGAGAGTAACGGTCACCGCAGCATGTATGATGCCAGGTGATGCTGCAGGAGAGCGAGGCGCCAGGGCAGAGACAGGAGCTCGCTCTAGCAGGGACACCCGCCTTGCGTGCCACTGGGGCCCCTCACTGCCCACAGAGTCCGATGGCGGAGGCCATGTGGAGGCACCTGGCTGAGGTGAGTGGCGTCCCCGGGCCCCCCCCTCACACCACTGAGCAATGGGGCCCGGGTGCGGGGCATCGGACCCAGCGAGAGTCTGGCGGGTTATGGAAGGGTGGCCAGGGAGGGCCCGCCCTGTGAACAGGTGCAGAGGCACCTGGGCCAGGAGGACCCGGGAACCTGGGGTCCTTGCTGTGTCCGCATTCAGCAGTCTGAGTCTGAGTCACGTCCTTACCGGGACTTAGAGGGGTCATCCACGCTGAAGTGGGGGCAGGTTGAATGTGGGGGAGTTTTGTATAGACTTTCCCGATTCATTTGTGTCCATTCTGACAGGTTAGGGTGACCTTTGAGGATGTTGCCGTGTATTTCTCCAGGACAGAATGGAGCCTCCTTAATGCGGCTGAGAGGCGCCTGTACCTCCATGTGATGCTGGAGAATTTTGCTCTTATATCCTCGCTGGGTAAGACCCTCACTCTCTCCCGGTGACCGGTGACCATGAGCAGGGTTTGCATGTTCCCCGTGCCCTCTGTTCCCTGGGGTGCGCTCAGTCCTCACATGTGAGGACGGTGGGTACTGCTTGCTTCACAGTTTTCTAGGCAGATCCTGGCCTTGTCAGGCTGCCCTCTTCTCTCCCTGCAGCCCCAGTACCTCCTGTACTGAAACCTCATAGGGAAGCATTTGTGGTTGGTGGTCTTGCAGGGAATCAGGTTCCATCTTGATTAATGAGGAAATGCGTTTTTTTGTATTCCTGTTGGTCATTTGTACATACTTCTGCAAAAATGTCTCTACACTTCTATTCGTGCTTTTCACTGTGTTTGGGGCTAATGATTAGTGTTTTTTTTATAGCTTTCCTGGATAGAGTCATCTGAGAGGTAGGTTGTTGCTTTTCCTGACTTCGAATCCTTCTTTCCAGCCACTTCTTGCCTGTAAGGTTTCTTTTGAGAAGTCAGCTCATAGTCTTATGGGAATTCCTTTGTAGGTAACTTCCTCCTTTTGTTTTGCTGCTTTAAGATTCTCTCTTTATGTTTAATCTTAGGTAATTTAATTATGATGTGTTTTGATGTGTTCCTCCTTGGGTCCAACTTCTGTGACACTCTCTGAGCTTCCTGGACTTGCATGTGTATTTCTTTCACCAGATTGGGGAAGTTTCCCTTCATTAATTTTTCAAAAGATTGTTCAGTTTTTTCCCTTCCTCTTCTCCTTCTAGCACCCCTATGATTGGAATGTTGGAACTTTCAAGTTGTCCCAGAGGTTCCTAAGCCTCTCTCTTTTGTTTTTTTGAATTCCTGTTTCTTTGTTCTGTTCCAGTTGAATGTTTATTTCTTCCTCCTGTTCCAAATCGTTGATTTGTGTCCCGATTTCCTTCCCTTCACTCTTGGTTCCCTGTATATTTTCTTCTTTATTTCATTTTGTATAGCCTTCAATCTTTCCTTTATTTTGTGGTCATACACAATCATTTCTCTGAGCATCCTGATTACCATTGTTTTGAACTCTGAATCTGATAGGTTGGCTATCTCCTCCTCACTTAGTTCTTTTTCTGGAGTTTTGATCTCTTCTTTCATTTGAGTTATATTACTTTGTCTCTGCACCTGTTATTTTGTAAGGGGCAGAGCCTTAGTTATTCGCAAGGCCCACAATGCACTTGACTGTATTGTGGGGCTGTTTGTGGGGTAGAGGTCAGAGAGGGAACAGCACCTGTTGCTCAGCTCTCACCCCACTTTCAGTCAGTTCCACTGCTACACACAAGTGAATTGTACCCCTTTCGGGTGCTGATTTCTGAGTGGATGGGCTTGTGTACATTCTGGGACCATATGTGCCCGTCCAATGAAGTCTCTTGTGAGCCATACAGTTTCTCCCACTGCCACAAACCCACTGCGGCTTTTTAAAGCCACAGGTTTTGAAATTTTCTTTCCTGGTGTTGGAACCTTGGGTTGCTCAGTGTGTCTGGCTCCCTGGTTGGTCCTCCCAGTTTATCTGCTTGGGAATGTGGTATCGCCTGGTCTGCCAGTTGCTGCCTCACCCACCTGGTCTGCCAGTTGCTGCCTTATGGCATGTCCTCTCTACTCTGGCTGTTGATCTCCACCCCTCCTTCCAGTCTGGATGAGTGTTTCTTATACAGTTCGGTTTTCTCACAGTTCTAAGTTTTTTGTCTTTTTGGTTTTTTTAAAATTGGCTTTTATCCCTAGTTTTGTTCTGTGAGGACATGAAACATACCTACCTATGCCTCCATGTTGGCTGGAAGCCTCATTTCTTTTTTTTTTGTAATATTTTATTTTTAATGTTTTTTTTTTAATTTATTTTTTAATTGATTATGCTGTTACAGTTGTTCTATTCCCCCCTTCATTCCCCTCCACCCTGCCCCCCCCATCCCCACCATTACCCCCCTTTAGTTTATGTCCATGTGTCTCAAGCCCTTTAGGTTCTATATTTCCCATGCTATTCTTGCCCCTCCCATCTATTTTCTATCTACTGTCTATGCTACTTATTTTCTGTACCTTCTCCCCCCATCTCCTCCTCCCACTCCCCTGTTGCTAACCCTCCTTGAGATCTTCATTTCTATGTTTACACTCCTGATCTAGCTGTTCTTTTAGTTTGCTTTCGTTTTAGGTGTGGTTGTTAATAACTGTGAGCTTGTTGTTCTTTCACTGTTCATGTTTCTTTAACTTCTTTTTCTTAGATAAGTCCCTTTAACATTTCATATAATAAGGGCTTGGTGATGATGAACTCCTTGAATTTGATCTTATCTGAGAAGCACCTTATCTGTCCTTCCATTCTAAATGAAAGTTTTGCTGGATAGAGCAATCTTGGTTGTAGGTCTTTAGATTTCATGACTTGGAATATTTCTTTCCAGCCCCTTCTTGCCTGTAAGGTCTCTTTTGAGAAATCCGCTGACAGTCTGATGGGGACTCCTTTGTAGGTGATTGTCCCCTTAGCTCTTGCTGCTTCTAGGATTCTCTCCTTCATTTTAATTTTGGCTAATGTAATTATGATATGCCTTGGTGTGTTTCTTCTTGAGTCCAACTTTTTTGGTACTCTCTGAGCTTCTTGGATTTCTTGGAAGTCTATTTCCTTTGCCAGATTGGGGAAATTTTCTTTTATTATTTATTCAAATAATTTTTCCACTGGTGGTTGTGTCTTTCCCCCTTCTGGTACCCCTATAATTCGGATATTGGAGCGTTTAAAGATGTCCTGGAGGTTCCTAAGACTCTCCTCATTTCTTTGAATTCTTGCTCCTTGACTCTTTTCTGTTTGGCCATTATTTGGTTTCTTCTGGGCCACTCCATTGATTTGAGTCCCAGTTTCCTTTTCATTTCTATGGGTTTTCTGTGGAATTCCATTCATTTCCCTTAGTTTAGCCTTCATATATTTGTCTAATTTGTGGCTATAATCAACCAGATCTGTTAGGAACCTGATGACCAGTGTTTTAAACTGTGCGTCTGAGAGTTTTGCTATTTCTTCGTCGCTTAGATTTATGTCTGGGGCTTTGAGGTCTTCCTGCGACATTTTTGGTCTGTTCTGGCCCTTTAAATGTGAGAAGCGGCGCCTTGGACTCCCAGGTCGCTGGGTTGTGACGCTGTATGTGGGGGCGTGGTCAGAGCGGGGATATGGCGGCGCCCTCTACTGCCACAAGCCACGGGGACCACCGGCCCCGGTCCAAGCGCCCACTCCCTCGCCTGTCCGCTCGCCCGCAGATAGGCAACCGCAGTCAACACGCAGCACCGCCTCCCCACTGTCTCCTCAGCAGTCGCTCACCCGGTCGCTCACTCGGTCCAATCCTGGGTTTGGAACCCGTGCGTCTGGATTCGCGCGTCTGGATTCCGCGCCTGGGTCCGTCCGACCAGAGTCCTGTGCAACCCCTCACAAGACGCCGGTTTCGCCCCTTACCGGTCGGGCTGAAGAATTTGTTGTTACCGGACTTCCGAAGAGTTCAATTTTCCGTGTTCTGGTTGTGTTTTCTGATGCTAATATTTAGTTGTCCCTAAACTTGGTTGTGTGAGAAGGCACGGCACATCCACCTATGCCTCCATCTTGGCGGAAGTCCCCTCATTTCTTTTTAAAGACATATGATTCTTGTTTCTTTTGTTTAGTATGGTTAAAGGTCTGGCAATTTTGTGTATTTTTGAAAAAACCAGTCTTAATTATGATATTCTTTTGTTTTTGTTTTTTCTCACCTTTATTTCATGTATGACTTTCCTAATATTTATTGTTTTTTTCCTTTACTATAGTACTTTGCGTTTAGTATCTTCATGTTTTTCTAGGTTCCTGAGGTGCAAGGTTAGGTTATTTGAGATCTTTTGTCTTAAGGTGGGCATTTATTACTACAAAATGTGCTGTTAGCTATGCATTTTCTGCTCAACGTCCATTAGCTTTGATTGTTGTGTTTTTATTTCCTTTTGCCTCTAGATGTGTTTTAGCTGTCTTTTTTTTCTTTGACCTTGTGGTTGTTCAGGGGTGTTGGGTTTGATTTCATCTTATTTGTGAATATTCATCTTTCTTAACACTAAAATTGATTTCTTGTGTTCTATCACTCTGACCAGATAAGACACTTTAAATGATTTATTCTGAATGTTTGGGACTTGTGTTTGCATCTAACATAAGATCTACCTAGAGACTATTTCATGTGCCCTTGATAAAAATGCATCTTCTGCTGCATTTGGGTGGAATGTTCTGTATAAGTTTATGAGTTCTGTTTTTTCTAAAGTGTAGTCAAGCTTCAGTGATTCCTTAGTGCTTTTAGATGGGTGATCTAGTTATTGTAGACAGAAAAATATTGAAATTCACTACTACTGAACTATACTGAGCTTCTTTTATATGCCTTCAGTTCTGATATGATTTGCTTAATGTAATTAATATATGCTGTTAGATGCTTAACACTTAACATTGTTGTTCTCTTGGTGACTTGACTCCTTTACCATTCTGTGATGACCTTTATCATTTGTGACAATATTTAGGTCATCTTTGTCGGATAGAATTTTAGCTACTCCTGCCTTCTTTTGGTTTTATATCCAAGGAATATGTTTGCCTGTTTTTGTTTTCAGGGTGTTTATGTCCATAAACATTTAAAGTGTCTCCTACAGGCAGCATATATTGTGTCTTATAGTTTGTTTGTTTGTCTTTAATCTTTTCAGTCACTCTATGCTTTCCTTGGAGAATTTTTTGTAGAGTCTACTACCGCCACTTTATTGTTGGATTCTGGCTCTTTTGTAGTTCATTTGTTTATCTTTGTATGCCACTGTTTTCCATTGTGATTTCATCATTTTCTTTAGTGGTATGATTAAATTTACTTGTCTTTTGTGTGTCTTTTACAAAGGTATTTGCTTGCAATTTCCAAAAGACTTAGATGAAACAGGTTCTTAACACTATTTTCTCTTGATGCCAACTTTTGCAAACAAAAATAATACCCTTTGACTCTTCACTACACCATCCCTTTATATGTTTTTGATGCTACAATTTACATCT